AAAAAAAATTGTTTAACGAAAATATGAATTTTATGCAGAACTTTTTTACCACGCTGTATACATATACGTATATACTACCTAAGTTACTTAAATTTTACAACTTACCTTCGATGTGCGTTTATAAAACCGGCAAGTAAATGGAAATTTAACAAGCCGTTCATTTTCATTAGACAAATAACACCTACGTTAAACTATAGCAACACCAAATTCCGTGCCTTTAAGAAACTCTGTTATAATTTAAGATAACATGTTACAAACTATTTTATGTTGTACTTATCCGTTATTTATGAGTTTGCATTTGTTTCATGTTTCATAAACTAAAAGACATCTGTCAGTTATATGTGTTTTTGTCTAATACTGATTCTTGTTTATAATAATTTTGCATAATTATTATTAAAAATGTCGACACAAAAGCGTCTTCAAAAAAGAACAAAATTGCAGTACGAGTATTTGCTAAAAATGGTCTTAATTCCTCAATAACATGCATGTTATATCTTAACAGGTAACGTTAACAACCCTGAAATAACATAACTGTTATTATGATAAAATGGGATACATACTCGGCCTGAAAATTTTAAGAATAAAGCAATATCTTATCTATCAAAACTTTTTATCTCTTTTGACAACTATCTACTCTATAATCAATTTTTACTACAAATATTAACGAAATTTTTACAAAATATGCTCTCGATTTGTATGTAGAGCGTTTTCTGTAAAAATTTCATTAAAATTTGGCACGTGGTTGTTGAGATTTTGATTCAGGTTTAAGATTTTTATTTCTGTTTCTGCATATATTTGCAAGAAGTCATCTATATATTAACAAGAGACTAGTGAAAGTCTTTCTTATAAATTTTATTTTGATAAACCAACTTTCTAGTGCCCCTTTTATAGGTTTGCATAAAAATACTTATTTATTAACATATAGACTAAAGATTAAACAATTATTTTATTTTTATACAGGGTGGGCCATTAGTGTGAGAAACTAAATTAACTCCCTTGTTACTGAATATAGAAAAAAAGTTGTACAGAATCAATAAACCTAAACTACAAAATTAATTTGAAACCTACAAGGGGATGAGTAAAAACGGGACAAATATAAAATTTTTTAAATGGAACACCCTATATCATTTTAAACATGGATTTCCGAGAAAATTCTATATATGGCAATATAAACAGTTTATCATTTTAGTGCGGGGTTGCCAAGTTATGTAGAAAATTCTTTGAATTTTGGAAAAAACATGACCTTGAATAAGTTGTATTAACTTTCATGTAGGCTCCTATATTAGCTAATATCGATATTTTATACAGGGCATTTTTTATAATAGGATCATTTTTAGAAAGTTTAAACTTGATTTTCTAAAATTTTTCAAATGGAACATTCTGTATTTTATTGTTCTATTTTATTCACATATCAGTCCACTTCAACTTTTATTAAGCATGTTATATATCTAAAATTATTAGTTTTTAAGATATAGCAACATTTCTGAAAAAACTTAATTTTTATTATTTTATAGAATACCACAAATAAATATTAAATAATAAAATTAACTCAAAATTGAATAATAAATTATGAACTGACAAGTTGACACGATATGACAGTTTTTCCCAAAACTATTTCGGGCGACCGAAAATAATAAAAATTAGGTTTTTCCAGAAATGTTTTTATATCTTAAAAACTAATAATTTTAGATATATAACATGCTTAATAAAAGTTGAAGTGGACTGATATGTGAATAAAATAGAACAATAAAATACAGAGTGTTCCATTTGAAAAATTTCAATCAAGTTTAAACTTTCTAAAAATGATCCTATTATAAAAAATGCTCTGTATAAAATATCGATATTAGCTAATATAGGAGCCTACATGAAAGTTAATACAACTTATTCAAGGTCATGTTTTTTCCAAAATTCAACGAATTTTCTACAAAACTTGGCAACCCCACACTAAAATATTAAACTGTTTATATTGCCATATATAGAATTTTCTTGGAAATTCATGTTTAAAAATATACAGGGTGTTCCATTTAAAAAATGTAATATTTGGCATGTCCTGTTTTTGCTAATTGCCCTGTATGTTTCAAATTAAATTTGTCCTTTAGGTTTTTTGATTCTGTACAACTTTTATATAAACCTTTTTTCAGTATTATGAATAACAAGGGAGTTATTTAACTTTCTCACACTAATGGCCCACCCTGTATATTTTCATTTCACATCTAGTCAAAGAAAATTTCATATTTCGTCTCTTGAAATTCATCGTTAACTTTACACCAATTTAATTATTTTATTTTTTTTATTTAGGGGCATAAATTTAATTTTGGCGATCGTTTCAGGTAAAATCGCATTAGCGGTTGTTAGCGCGTTGCATTATTTGTACTCGCAGCTGCGAGTCATTCACAGAGACGTAAAACCGTCCAACATTTTAATAAACAGGAAGGGGGAGGTGAAGATGTGCGATTTTGGAATTAGCGGTTATCTAGTCGACTCGGTGGCTAAGACAATAGATGCAGGGTGCAAACCGTACATGGCGGTAAGTGGTATTTTACAGAATGTTCCAATTTAGGGTCGAAATAAGATGATTTAACTAAAATTTACCTCTATCGAAAAATGCTACGCTTAGCCACGAGAAACCAAAAATTAAAGTTGAATTTTAGAAATTTGTAATCAGTTTTTGGAAATGATCCTCGTTTTCAGTAATACATAATTCAGTTAAAAATAATTCCAAATGTTCTTCATTCTGTAAATTATCTTTTTTCATTCTCACCAATTTTCGTGAAAACAGGTACAAGTTTCCGAACTGAAAACATTATTTTGTTTTTATTATCAAAGAAATATAATGACGGTAAATCAGGTTTGAAATACGTTGATGGTGGGGAATAAAATTACACGAAAATCGTTACACAGAATATGACACATTGACAAGAGAAAAAAATCGAGAAAACGGCTCTATCTTTTGTGATAAAACAAGAAGTGAAGTTAAGGTGATCCTGAAGGTTTTATCGTAAACATTTTGAAGGCATAAAAGTAGTTGTTTATTGCTTTAATCTCAATGTCAGCAGTGCCGTTTGCAAATTGCAGAACTAAACATGTCATGTTATACTAACAGACGCTATAGTATCTTAATTAGTGGGCAATAAAGAAATTTTAATTAGATATCACCAAATGAAATGTTTCACGTTCTGCATGATGTAAAACAATATACAGGGTGATTCAGTTATAATCTGGATAACTTCAGGAATCGATAGAACAGGTTAAAATGTTTATTCATGATATAAACTTATTTCCTAAATCGCACCGTTTCGGAGATAGAGGGCGTTGAAGTAGGAATTTTTTTCCCTTTATCACTAAAACTACTTTTGAAATAATACTTTTAACGATGATTTTCACAAACGTCAGTTTATACAAATCATTGTAAGTTTTGTTTTTCATGGGTTGCTATAACGTTGAATGAAATTTACTGGACTGGGGCTCTACACTGTCATTTCATTGAATACCTCAGAAACATGGCTAAATATAAAAAAAAGAACAAAAAATTTCAATTAATGAGACAAAAGTGGTGTGCAGCTGTTTTATTGAACTTAATTAAATTTTTTGAAGTTTTGAAATAATGTAGGAGGCGGTAGCCCACAAAATACACTTCTAAGAAGCTTATGTAAGATCATAAGGAGTGTTTGTGTTCCGAATTTCGCCTCAATCGGATGAGTGGTTCAAAAGTTATGAGAGAAAAGCGGGAAAAAAATATTTCAACACCCTCTATCTCCGAAACGATGCGATTTAGGAAACAAGTTTATATCATGAATGAACATTATTTTAACCTGTTCTATCGATTCCTGAAGTTATCCCGATTAAACCTGAATCACCCTGTATATGTCGTAGCCAGATTGTAAAATCTGTTTTATAAAACAATGTGTTTTTAATATCTGGTTAGTCTTTTTGTTTAACAGCTGGGTGTTTTAAAGTTTCAAAAAGACGAACAACGCAAGGCCAGATTGTCAAATGTTTAAAATCATCATCTGTTTAATATTCTAGCTGTAGCGTTTCAGTCGTTTTATAAAATGTAAGGATAGTTTGATTTAAGAGTTTACAGTAAATTTTAAGCGAATTTAACGACATGGTATATTTTTATATCAGATTTATTCATGTCTAATATAGATAATAACGGATTAAATATTTGTGGAGTTTATAATTACACATACAGTATACAGTGTATCCTGAGATTTTATCCTGGAGAGGAATAAAAAGTTGTTTAATATACAGGGTGTTCCATTTTTAGTTTAATTAGTTCAAACGTATCATAATTACACAGCCTTCCTTGACAAATATGCACCAATAATATTACTGTTTCATGTTAAGTGTTTAAAATCGTAATGACTGAGTTTTGGAATAACGTTTTTATAAATTGTTAGATCCATCATACGTTTATCAACTGTGTGATTAAGTTATCTTTGACTAAAAAAATAACTCGAAAATGATTTTTTTCCATTAAAATGGAAGAAACCTTTTTTCTTTCCAAAAATTCGGTAATATTGAAATTCTGAGGTCCTTGTATCTCCGTTGCTGGTTAATGAGTGTTGAATATTGCAGTATATCCCGGTAACTTGACCCAATACAGCATACACCAAATTTAGTTCAAATAAAAATTCAAATTGAATTTTTTGGGGACCTTAAAATCTCGAAAGCGGTCAAGATTTAAAAATTAGTTTGTAAAACCTAGTATCATATTTTTTATTCACTCCCAAAGTCTGATAGATTAAAACTGGGACACCCTGTATAGTTTATACCTCAACATTTCATATTGTCCTTTATCAATACCAGACAGAAACGGTTATTTTCCTAGCATAAATTTCTGTGGAGTGATAGATGTCAAAATTTCCTTCTAAAAATCGTATCAGATATTTTTTTTATACTTAGCCCTCATAAATGATTACAAGTCAGATGACCTGTAATCATGTAAATTTTATAAAAAATAGAAAAATCGCTTTTGTCCACAATTTTCCATCTGGAAAATGGTGTTTCCAATAAAATACATACTGGATCATACATAGGAAACATTTCTACAATTATTGATATAAAACAAATATTAACAAAGAACCGTTGTAATTGTGCACTGGTTGACGTATCGTAAAAACTGTTTAAAGGCAGGCGATGGGATGACGATGCTGCTTCAATTTCCACATCACTTGTTCCCCCACGCCGTAGTTTATACACGTGTTGGCCGCCTTGTTGCCATGACAACCGCCGTAAACAATGCTACAAAGTGAAGTGGAATACAAACTGATTTCGATCCGCGTCACTTGCTTATATGTACAAGGTTGATGTTCACTTATTTCTGCGTATAAAACAAACACAATACATTTTCAGTATAGAATTATACCTAAATTATAAAATTAAAAATAATTTTAAATTGCACAACCAAACGGAAATTTTAGGTGAAACGGTGCGTTACTTGCATCACCTGGCGAGCCACCACTGGCTTAGGATTAACGATTTCCATTTTTTTTGCTATATTTTGCGATTTTTGCAAAATTTTTGTGTAATGAGGCTCAACAGACTTTAGATTCAAATTCGACTCGACAAAATTTATGAGAAAAACACTTGCTGTGATTTAGAAAACTTCTTTCTAAATTTTCTCACTCTCAATATGATTTTTTGCCATTTTCAGATGTTTTTTACATTTTTTTGCAAAATCTGTGGGGGATACAGTTAGTAGACTTCAGACTCGAATTCAGCGTCTCAAAATACATAAGAAACATGATCAAGGCCAGCAAAAAATTTTCAAATTTTTTTGGACTCGCTAACCTAATTTTTGGCGATTTTTCACTATTTTTAGTCATTACTCAAAATTTTGGGGGTGTTTGAGCTAAACGGACTTCAGATTCGGATTCAGCACATTAAAATACATAAAGCCTATTGGGTCAAATCAACCGCTTTTCTATTATCATCAAAGAAATTAATTATATTAAAAGTTTAGTTAAATTGTCTTATTTTAACCTCAAGAATTTGGTAGATCCATATTTCCAACCCTTTTTTTAGCCGGAAAGAATAGATCCCCAAGGAAACCCCTCCCAGTACGACATCAGGTCGGACGTCTGGAGTTTGGGCATATCGCTGATCGAGCTGGCGACTGGGGAATTCCCCTACCCCAAATGGGGCACCCCCTTCGAACAGTTGAAGCAGGTCGTCGCCGACGACCCTCCAAGACTGCCCCCCGGGCAATTCTCGCCCGAGTTTGAAGATTTTATCGTGAAGTGCCTTCAGAAGAAGTACACGGACAGGCTGAACTACAGTCAGCTCCTCGAGCACGAATTCCTCATCAAGCACAAGGAAATGGATACGGATATATCCGCGTCTATATCGGAGATACTGGACCTGCCCGACAACCCTTGAGATTCGTGCTCCGTTTCTTAGTTTTTACGTTCAAAAAAAATTTTTAATTTTCCATTTTATGAATTCAAATTGTCGGTTTAGTTCTGTTTGCTTTTAGGAGCTCTCTCGGATTATTTCATTTTAAAAATTTTTATTTCAGTTGTGCGGTTCTGATTATTGTCGTTTTAATTTTGAATTTTTAATTCGTCGGAGGAAAAAATAAATTGTATCCTATCAGAAGAACAGAGTTCGTAAAGTACAAAGTCTAGGGGTTCTCGAAAACATATTAGATTAGAGGAAACTTCACCGTCTTAATAGTCAATATTGTATATAGTAAGAGAAATGTTGTATATTAGAGAAAAGTATACAGTACCTTAAAGTAAACGACTGCCACTCTTCCAATTAGTGATAGTTCAACCCAGTATTGAAACGTAACCTTTAAGTTTAAAAGTAAAAGATTTCTTTCATATTTGAAAGCAATAAAGCGGCAACATTTATTTTTTCGTTTTGTGGTGTACAGGGTGTTTCAGGACGAATCGGCCGAATTTGAAATGTAAGTTTGAATGATCAAAGCAGGAAAAAGTCCTATGAAATGCTTCGTTTTCGCGATACAGGGTGTTGAAATTTGAAAAATACATTCTCGAAAAAATCTCTAAAGATGTCTGACGTATAGTGATGAAACGTTAGCGCTACTACCGCTAAGGACACCAGAGATTTAACGATATATATATTTTGGAAATTCAATCAGTGCTTACAGCTTTTAAGTGAATTTCGCAGGAAATTAATCTATTTGAAAAATGAACCGTTTTGAAATTATTGTTTTATTAAACTCCATCACCGTTAACTAAAAAAATCGGAAACTTTGGAACTTGTTTAGTAAAAATTATATTTTTTTGCGTTTTATTACATGGAACAAGGGCCACACCACATTTTCAGAAAAAATTAATTTTTTCGAATCAAGTATACTAAATTTTTCGGTAACTGTAACGCAGCTAAAAAAGTGCACTTTTTTAAATGAATTGAAAAAATGTCTGAGGTTTTTGGTGATGGCAACTTTAAAAAACCATTTTTGAGTAATTATTTCATTAAATTTGTAGCTTCGTGTTATGCAAAAAAGTTTTCATTTTTTTTTGCTATAAAAATACTAATTTGAATATAATTTAATTGCGAGAAGTTCGAAAAAATTATTACCTCAAAATTTTGAATTTCGTTAGATGTCGCAAGGTGAAAAAAACTGTTCAATTAAATTTTTTTTCTTTTACTTTTCATGATTACGATGTATTTAAAATATAAGCATCCTTGGTAATTCCAACGTACATAAAAATTTATAGAAAAAATTCCCTTCAAACACCTTTAAACGTTGTAAGTGGCAATAGATTTTCCAAAATATTATTTCTGTCAAATTTCTGGAGGTCCCAGCGCTGGTAGCTTCCCGTATTTTCACCACTCGTACACATATTTGTGTCCTTATTGGTGCAACTCTACGTTAGATTATTTAAATCTGCAGCATTCCACTTCAAACATCTTCAGATTTGTTTTAGAAAACGTGAAATTTTTTCGATTTCCGACGGTCTGTAGCGCGAAAAAATTTCTTCATCGAATCCCGGAACGCCCTGTATGACCGACAATTAACAATAAATTTACGGTTCCAGCTACTAAAATTGTTCCTGAACCTTCCTAACGCACAACTGGGACCGCACATTTACAGTTAAACCGTCGGGTTGTTCTAGAGCGGTCGCTTTATGCCGTCGTACAAACCGGAGTCTTAATATTGGGTTTTGTACGAACTACCGCTCCCACTTTTTACTACGTTGTACTTTTTTTTACTTTAACATCACAGTATTGAATTGTAGGATATTTATTTTGATTAAAGAAAAGTGCGTGCTCCTTTCCTTTTTGCTCAAAAAAAAAAATGAATCATTTTAAGGTCGATCCTTTGTATTATCAGAATATATTTTAATAATTTATTTTACCATCATCATTAGTCTTGTACTCACTTTTTAAGTAAGTTTTAATTAGCGTTAGAATTAAAAAGATTTTATTTTAATTGTTATACAAAATCGTGTGATACCTACTGATTAAATAAATAAAGAAATAAGTAACTCGACCCGTGCGTTTCCATGTTTAAAAACTGATTTATTCATAAAAACAGTCCAGTCTTGTACTTCTAAAATAAATATTTTCATAAATTAAGAATCGTCCATGATAAACTAATAGAAAAATATATGTATATATATTGGCTCCCGTCCGACGCTAAAACGGTGAGTTCATCCCTAGTTTCGTACCAAAGTCCAGTCTGGCCCGCTTCAAAAACCTCTTGTTTACCCTACAATCAAAACAATCGATTTTTCCTCAAATATTTTATCCGCTACTGCTGTACTCACATGATTTCTTGACTTTTGATCAATTCATTGACTAGCAAAACGGTCAGCGGTGATACCGCCGCAAAGATTATTACCCATAACGGTATCTTGAACTTCGCTTCTTTTCCAGGCGTTTCTTTAATGATGCTGAACGTTACGATTGTGTAAATCGATTGTACTACTATCCTGCAAAGGAACAAACGTGAAAACAATCACTCTCTCGTTAACTGATGATATTGCGGAAAACTACTCTGCAAACTAAATGCCCTGTCTAACATTGAATTACACCACCAGTATTTAGTAAATAGCTAAGATCATTCATCAGCAGAACCACCAGACATATATCAATTTTGAACTTATTAGTTTTCGTCAGTATGCTATAGGTGAGAGGACGAACAAACGATTTAGATATTTTGTATGTCTACTGATATATAAATGTCCTATAAAGTAATAAATGACGCCTACTGGTAAAGAGTGACCTACTAATTCATAGATGCTATAAAATGTTCGGGCCGTTACGTTCGCTTCTCACTACAGGGATCTCGGAAACGGTAAGAGATATGTAGTAGCTTAAATGGGACTAAAGTTTGCATAATCAGGGGACCAAAAAATTAAGGCTAACATGATTAGTTTTCCAAATATTTGAAAAAAAGAAGAAATTTTGGAAATCTGTTTTTGTTTCATTTCAGTCTTGTTTGAGATGATATTGAAAAAAGAAAAACACTTTCTCATGGCCACTTTTTGCCCTCTATCTAATGGCATAATCAATTTTTATATGTAACGTTTCGTCTCTCCAGGACCATCAACCTCATTTTTTTAAATATGACCTTGGAAATTTTATTAAATTTTTTGCAAGCCTTCGTAACCCCCAATACTGTACTGTCTCAGCCGGAACCAGATTCAGACGTTTTGTCTCGAAAAATTCATCTTCAGTGTATTCGTTCCAAATGTAATTTTTTATCTTTTCCAAAATATTTCGAAAACTAATCATGTTAGCCTGGGTTTTTTAAAGGCATAATGTTAGTCGCTTGATCATGCAACTTTGCCCCATTTAAGCTACTTCGTACCTCTTACCGTTTCCGAAATCCCTGTAGTGAGGAGCGAATTTGTAACAGTCTGTATGTAGAGTAGTAGTTGATTCCCACAATATAAATAGTTGAACAAGTTTATTTTGCCTGGTTTCATACTGTAGTCTGTTTAGAAATGAAAGAGAGTAATAAAAGCTTATTGTGTACGCAAATCGTAAATAAATGTAATACTGGTGCTTATATTCAATATTTTTATATTATGTATTATCGGTATAGATGAGGTGTACTTTTAAAAAAACTGTGTGACCGGGTTGTACTAAATTGTAGCAGGTAGCTAAAATTTAATCCCTGACAATCCGTCTTTGTCTATGCCGCTTCAATTTCTCAGTCCATTTCTGTTATAAGTAAACAATATAAAAACAGCATTTCAAAACATGAGGCTACTTTAAGCATCATAACCGGGTTAAGAGGGTTTTTAGTAATTCAAATAAAATGATTCAATATTATTATCAAAATATTTATTTAAATTTAATGAATAGACTTTTATTCCACACAAAAATATATGTATTTTGAAAATTCAAATTATGGTGAGTAAATGTAGTGTTGAATAAATGTACAATAAAGAAAATAAAAAAGTAGGTATATTAAAATTCATCTTCTGAATATTCTGATGAATTATCTTCATCTCCTAGATTGATAACGATAGGTTCCACAGTAACGTCAATTAAATCATCTATAACTACTTTTGACTTCCCTGTAGATGATTTTGGGGGATTTACATTAGGTCTGTTCCAACAAGAGTCAGGGATTGGTTCCAAACCATCAGAAATGTGCATCCAACTAATTCTTGCGATATATTCACTGAAGACACATTTAGAATTTAGCTGGCCAAACATTTCGAACGGTTGGGAACCAATCCCTGACTCTTGTTGGAACAGACCTATTATCTTGTTCATTTTTTGTTTCCTTTAAAAGTCTGTAGATAGTCGATTTTCCAATACCTGTCATTTTGGAACACTTTTCCACGATGTCGTCAACACTGTTGGTAGGATTTTGGTGTTTCAATGCATTAAATACATTTAATATAATAATCTCATTCTGAGACAGCGCACATCTTTTCACGCGTTTAGCAGGTACGTAATCTGATAAGTTCGACATTTTACACAAACAATATTATATCCACTGGCACAATAGTCCCTAAACACAAGTCGAATTTTACTCTACTGCACTAGCACGTCTTCGTATATTCAGCTCTAACACTGGATTGATCTGTCACAATACACTGGCTCCTGCCCTATGATGTATCCAGTAAAATATACTAATGTATACCCATTACCTGTTAGCATTAGTGTTACCCGATAATTACCTGAAACGAAATATTACCACGCCCATGGCCGGTTCTTAACTCGGGGTTTTATTACTCTCTTTCATTTCCAAACAGACTAGAGTCAGGCTTTCATAACACCTACAAATCAGTAGGTTACTCTGCCAGTAGGTATAAAGTATGTTTTGTATCAATAGGCATTGAGTAGCAATGACATATAAGATATGACGTATATTTGTAGGTTATATGTCACCAACGTGAAAATAATTACATTAAAAAACAATTTAAACAAACCGATATTTCAGATGTGTAGTGTAGATTCCGGATGATTTTTCCCAATGAATTCTAAGTTCGAAATAGAGGATATCAAAGATGATTTTTTGAAATTAAATTTTGGCCATATCTTTGTCGGAAAACGATATATTGCATTGAAATTTGGCGCTACTACATCAGTATTGTTAGTTCTTGACCACCTTGTAGAGGTCACTGGCTACAGCCTTGTCCGACGATATTTTAGAATATAACTCTTTGAAACAATATACTTACAATAAAGAAATTGCTGCTAGCCAATATAAATTGATAAGTGGCGATTTCCTGCGAATCAAACTCTCCCTATGAACAAATCCTGCTGAAATGATAACTAAGGAGAAAAAAAATGTGCTGTTACAATTGATAATTGTGCTCTTCATACAAACGGTTGTGTATTTTACGATGATATTTAACATGAAGAGATAAGAAATGGGTGATATCTAAGTTGAGACATTTGCAAGAAAAAAAAATAAACTGAAAAATAAAGGAGAAACGATCTTCCAAAGTTTACGACAATCTTAAAATGTTCTTTTCTTTAATGAGGACACAAAACGGAAGTGTTTAGTAATTTTACAGATTTGTTCAATTAAAATTACTTGGTGCTCTCAAAACGAATAAAATTATTTCCATGTCCAAAAGCAGCCGCTTAGGGAAGTTATGGTCTCATCCAAAACATGGACACTGAAGTATAAAGAGACTATAGGTGTAATTATTCTTAAAAAAATGTCTCAACCTTAAAATCGCCCTGAATTCTCGCCAGCTTACCAAAATGCAACAAAACGATGAAACTTATGATAAGCCTGGACGTTAACAGGGTCCACTCGTTTTCCTCCCACCCGCCCATAGACACCGAGTCGGTCAGTACGACCGGATTATAGAAAAAGGCACAAGTACAGTTGCCCAACATCGCACATCTCTCTTCGCAATGACTAGTAAGTATTCCGATATAGGACGCTAGGACTATGACTATAGTAGGAAGAAACTTGGTTCCGTAGCACCACATTATAAATATCGTTCCCTGTAAAAATAATTTTCGTACAATTCCTACTAAACTGTCATAAGAAACGTACATCCCAGTTCACCACGGCCTGGATCTTCCCCTGCGGTCTCTTCATCACCTCTTGATCCACCGGTTTGGCCAACAGAGCGACGCTTATCAGCGGCACCGCCACGCAAGAGAACCACAGTACCTGGCCGGTCGTTAGCAGCCCCGGCAACATGCATACGGTTGCCAGCACCTGCATCAGGCTGAGGCAAACGCAGCAGCACAGCCAAAACTGAACTGAAATAAAAATAGTTTTCTTTTAGAACTTTTGAAAGGCATATCGCCTTCTTTGAAAACTTTAAAATTTCTTCTGAAGATAAAAGTGTTACGTTTCTGGAAATGATAAGAAGTCTAAGCCTACAAAGTAGCAGCCAGTCTTGGCATCATTCAACCACTGAGAATTGAAGTTTTTTATAGGCCAGTTAAATTGTCGAAAATACCTCGCTTTTTTGCTAAAATTAGGTCAGTAAACAATGACACCTAAAAATTAGGAAGAATTAAGTAGAACTGAATGAACTACTTTATCCCAGCTGAATGTTAGGGCCTCATTTTCAAATTGGCGGCCAAAATTCGCAAAAATCAGTTTTTCTCATTTACAAACAAAACTAAACATTTTAGTCCAGCCCGATGTCAATTGATAAATAAATGTATTAGTTATTGCAAAAAAACGGCTTAAAATCGCATTTTTTTAAAACTTCTATATCTTCAAAACGGAAAAAGATTTTTTTATGAAACTTTCAGAATACGGAGAGTCCAACCAAATTACACTTGGAGAAAAAAAAATTGTTACCTGAACTTTTATAAGTGGAAATGCTATAATAAACCTAAAAAAAATAAATGCGTGGCAGGGGTGGCGGAGGGTTGATGTGGGGGGTTGAAAAGATATGAAAAATTGTATCATTTGGATTTCTGGCGAAAGTTAACGTCAAACAAAGAAGTATCAAATACAAAAGTTGTAGATCATCCAAAAATCTACAACTTTTGTAGAGTTCACTTTTTAACATTACCTCAAAATTTCCGAGAAAAATGCGAAAAACAGTTTTTTTCTGATTTTTCGTTTTTTACTTCTCATTTCCACAAAAATAATTTAATTTTGACGAAATTTGGTGAAAGTATACCTTTCTCTGTCTTAAATAACCTCAAATTTATTTAGATTAAAAAATCAAGAAGTTTCTGAGATATTTATTTTTTCGGCCTGGAACACTTTTTTTTCAAAGAAAAATGCTACTTAAAAAAATCATCATACAGAGTTCTGTCAGTAATAATTTTTTTCGTTTTGACATATACATTTTGGTGAAATAAAAAAATCTGTAATAACAGTTCAAAAACAAGCTCAAAAATGCAAAAAAATAAAAAATGACGCAACAATGAATTTTCAGTTATTGTTAAGGATTTGTTTAAATTTAAAAAAATTCAAAAACTGACTACACCATTCACTTTACGGAAAAAAAATACAAAAAAAAACTGTCTCAATGTTTGACCCAAAACTTTATTTTTGTACAGTATTGCTATAAACATCGAAGTCGAATTACAAATGCACAAATGATAAATTACCTCTGGATGATTTGAGATTTCAGCAATACAAAGTATTAACTGCAAAGTCCACTGTTGACGCAAAATCTAAAAATCCGAAATTTTGCAAAATCATTTTATTTTTTTTCTGGCTTTATTTGAAAACGAATTTTAAATAAATTGCATATTTATATTGCCACTTTTTTTGCTCTATCCAATGGCGTCAACATTTCTGCAATCCGACGTTTCGTCTTCGAGGGGCCGTCATCAGATTAATTTTGTTAAATATGTCGCTGCTATTTTTATGACAAAAACTAGTCATTTTTAATTCTGAATTAGATGATATTACTATTGTAAAAAGGTTTTTAGCTATCATTAAAAATTTTTCCTGAGTACGGCTCTGAACGCTTTCAAAATACCTGTATCTATTGGAGGAGAAAGAGAGGAGAGATTAAAAATCAATATAGCACAAAATATCCAACAATTTTTTTTAATCCATAATTTAAAAAGTTGTATCTAATAAAAAAATAATATGAATTTGTGAAATATTTTATTATTTCTAATTAGCATTGCTAATAGTAGTTAAAAAATTGTTGGATATTTTGTGCGGTATTGACTTTCATACTGTTATGATTTCATCCAATAGATATTTTGAAAGCGTTCAGAGCCGTACTCAGGAAAAATTTTAAATTATAGGTAAAACAAGCTAAAAAATTTTTAAGCGATTGTAATAGTAATATCCTCTATTTCAGAATTAAAAATGACTAGATTTTGTCATAAAAATAGCAGTGATGTATTTAAAAAAATTAACCTGCTGATGGCCCCTCGAAGACGAAACGTCAGATTGCAAAAATGTTGATGCCATTGTTTAAAGCGAAAAAGTGTAATTTATTTTAAAATTCGTTTTCAAATAAAGCCAGAAAAAATTAAACAATTTTGCAAAATTTCGGGTTTTTCTGGATATCTCCGGAACTACCCGGAATTTTAAAACTTTCTAAACAGCATATTGTTTGGTATAAAAAAACACAACTTTTTTCTCTTACCGCTTCCTAGATCCTAATCCTATCTCATCCTTATCTTGGACACACTGTATATCTATGAATTGATCAAAATAAAAAAAAAATAAGTACACTAATCGATCCTACGGAAAAAAAATATTATTTATTTTATTTATTCACTATTCGACTTATGTTTATAGCAATACTGTACAAAAATAAAGTTTTGGGTCAAACAATGAGACAGTTTTTTTTTGTATTTTTTCCATACAATTGAATGGTGTAATCAGTTTTTGATTTTTTTTTAAATTTAAACAAATTATCAACAATTACTGAAAAATTGCTGCGTAATTTTTTTTTTTGCATTTTTGAGCATGTTTTTTAACTGTGATTACAGATTTTTTTACTTCACCAAAAAGTATATGTCAAAACGAAAAAAATGATTACCGGCAGAATTCTGTACGTTGATTTTTTTAAGTAGAATTTTTCTTTAAACAAAAGTGTTTCAGGACGAAAAAAATGAAAAACTCAGAACTTCTTGATTTTTTTTATCTAAAAAAATTTGAGAATATTTAAGACAGAGAAAGGTATACTTTCACCAAGTTTCGTCAAAATTAAATTATTTTTGCTGAAATGGGAAATAAAAAATGAAAAATCAAGAAAAAACCGTTTTTTTGCATTTTTCTCGGAAATTTTGAGGTATGTTAAAAAAATGACCTCTACAAAAGTTGTAGATTTTTGCATGATCTACAACTTTTGTATTGGATACTTTTTTGTTTGACGTCAATTTTCACCAGAAATCCCAATGATACAATTTTTCATAACTTTTCAATCCCCCAAATCAACCCTCCGCCGCCCCTGCTCACACATTTATTTTTTTTTTTCGTTTATTATAAGCCCCTTTACCATTTCCACTTATAAAAAAAATGAGTTATTTTGATCCGTCTAGTAGTCCTTGGCAAGTAGAATAAGTGCATTTTTGTAAAATTGAAAAATATTTGATAGTTTTTGCAAAAATTGAGTTTTTGGAAAAAAAGACAAGTTTCAATAAATCATACAGTAATGTACTTATGTGAACCATCTTGGGCTTAAAATTTTCTCCAAGAGTTGTACTTTCCTCTGCAAATTGTGCGTGTATGGCAAAATAATTGAAAATATTCGAAAAAATCTACCGAAACTTTGACTTTTTTCGTAGTTCGAATTAAAATGTTACATTGTTTTGCGCATCTTACCCGAACTCCACAAGGTGGCGACAAAGTGCCGCGCCTCCATGATCAAATGATAAAACATGATGGGATCCTCGCGTTTGACCGACAGAGAACACGCCATCGAATTCAGTTCCCTTGAAATATCGACAGGGCCAAGGCAGTTACTAGGTTTATAGTAAACGTCCTTCTTCTGACACACCTGGGGGTAGAGAGGCTCGACGGACACACTACAAAAGTATCAGCGTGATAAAAAAAATTACTAATGTGAAGCGGCGAGCGGAAAAGTGACTTATACAACAAATACTTGCTTTTAATATACCTTGCGTCGGCTTGCATGAAAATGCCAGCGTTATCGCAATTCTCCGACGATCCCATAATGCACACTATCTCCCTGTACTCCTGCATGATTATCAGCATTTCTCTGATGGCGGTCGGTGTGCAATCGGTGAAAAGCGACACCAGCAGAGGAACGTTGTCTATAAGTTCTATGTGGGGCCTGATTTTCTCTATACCTCTTGGCAGTTTCGCCTACAAAGGAAAGTAAGCAAAAGTTTGGATCCTCCTGTATCTACATTAAAATATCTGAAGCTACAAAAATGTAAAAATTACGTTTGCAAAAAGTTAAATTTGGACCGCAAACCGTCTATACAGGGTGTAACTAAATAAGTGTAAAACATTTAAGGGGGTGATTCCTCATCGAAAATAAGGTAGGATCTTTCATATAAAGAAACTTCATTGGAGCATGCCTTGTTAAGATACAGCCCCTTAAAGGGGGTACATAAAATTTGTTTAACAATTTTTTTCACAAGCACTAAACAAGTTACAATATTGAAATTAACCTGACATTTTCTACTACCAAAAAGACACTTAGCCAGTAATTTATTTGGTTTACCCCATGGTTGTAAGGGGTGGAAAACGCAACCCCTAAAATTTATTTCCAACGTAATTTTTTGTCTTATTATTTTTTTACCATTTAAAAATTTATTTCCGATAGCCTGTTTCATTCTAAAAAAAAATGTCTCTTGAATTTTTTGCCCAAATTAAACCAGTTCGCAGCAAAAAATTATTTTACGAACAAGATACATATCGCCATAAAACGAAAATACGAAACTAATTTATCTAGTAGGCCGCCATTAGCGATACTGACAATTAAATTGGAATCAAGCTGTCAGTTTGTAAATTTTTGAAATTGAAGTAATACTAATTGTGTATTGTTCTGTTCTTAATTTGTTACTTTAATAATTCACTTGTTATTAAAATGGCATACACAAATGAGGAAATGGCTGATATGCATTACGTTTACGGTCTGTCGCAGGGGAATGGGTTAGAAGCTTCTACAAGATATGCTGAAATGTATCCTCAACGGCAGCATCCTTCACATAGAATATTTGTCTGACTTCATCAACGATTACGTGAATATGGTTCATTCAACAAAAGAACGCAGGATTGTGGTCGCCATCGAGAAGTAAGAACACCACAGCTTGAGGCAGCAGTACTTAATTTGATAGAAGAACAACCTACTACCAGTACTAGAAAGATTGCTTTCCAGCTAAATGTTGATCATATGACGGTATTTCGAATTTTAAAGGAACATCTCTTATACCCTTACCATCTGCAACGAGTACAGGCACTGTTACCGCGAGACTTTCCGAACCGTCTTGAATTTTGCAATTGGATGCTGGAAATGATTAGAAGAAATCGTGACTTTCTGAAGACGATCGAATTCACAGACGAATGTAGTTTTTCTCGGGACAAGATTATTAATTTTCATAATTACCACATATGGGCTGATGAAAACCATCACGCTATTGTCGAAACTAACCATCAAGAACAGTTTTCTCTTAAGGTGTGGGTCGGAGTTATTGGGGATTATTTAATTGGGCCTCATTTTCTACCTCCTCGATTAAATGGTGAGGCATACGTTCAATTTTTAAGAAAAGTGCATCCCCCCGTACTGCTGGAGGAAGTTCCTTTGGGCGTCAGAAGGGATATGGTTTTTATGCATGATGGGGCTCCCGCCCATTTTAGTCAAGTAGCACGTCAGCATTTAACTGAAACATATGCAAATCAGTGGATAGGTCGAGGAGGACCACAGAATTGGCCCGCTCGATCCCCGGATCTCAATCCTCTGGATTTGTCTACTTGGGGCCATTTGCAGCATTTGGTTTATCGTACTCCTGTTCGCGATGTAGAGGACTTAAGAAACCGCATTATCGATGCGTGCAGGGTAATTAGAGAGACTCCAGGAATATTTGAGCGAATACGTGGCTCAATGCGCCGACGTCTAGACGCATGCGTAATGTCTGAAGGTAGACATATTGAACATTTACTATGATTTCTACATGTTGTATGTTTTGTTATTATTAAATTAGTTTTGATTATTCCCCTTTAATCATTTAATGCAGGTAGTAACTACAAAATAACAGTAAATCCAGTCCGCATTTATGACGATGTATCTCTGTAGTTGTTCGTAAAATAATTTTTTACTGCGAACTGGTTTAATTTGGGCAAAAAATTCAAGAGACATTTTTTTTTAGAATGAAACAGGCTATCGGAAATAATTTTTTAAATGGTAAAAAAATAATAAGACAAAAAATTACGTTGGAAATAAATTTTAGGGGTTGCGTTTTCCACCCCTTACTACCATGGGGTAAACCAAATAAATTACTGGCTAAGTGTCTTTTTGGTAGTAGAAAATGTCAGGTTAATTTCAATATTGTAACTTGTTTAGTGCTTGTGAAAAAAATTGTTAAACAAATTTTATGTACCCCCTTTAAGGGGCTGTATCTTAACAAGGGATGCTCCAATGAAGTTTCTTTATATGAAAGATCCTATCTTTTTTTCGATGAGGAATCACCCCCTTAAATGTTTTACACTTATTTAGTTACACCCTGTATAACTTTGACGGACATTCTACCTACCCTGTTGCTCATATCAAAGTTGATGGGGGCGCTCTGCTCCGTACTTTCCGTCAGGTTACTCAGGGATTGCCAGTCGTGGGTCGTACTGTCGGCGTGCATAGTAACGCTACCGTGGCTGGACGAATTGTCCATCTCGCTCTGTTCGCTGGACCTCTTGGCGATATTGAACTTTTCAACTTCCGTATCGAATTTTACGATAGAGTGTTCCATATTTATCGCACTGGGGGCGGAAAAACTCATCGTTCGAGACGATTCTAGATTGCTAGTGAAAAGATAGTACATAATGTGAGTAAAATCACAAATTTACGTTTTTCAGATGCGTTAAAATTATGTAACTTTTTAATAAAAAAAAAATAAAGGATATTGTTAAAGTTACATAATTTTGTGATCCGACACCAAGTTGTGAAAAAGACACAGAAGCAATATGAAACAGCAAATAAGTTTACTTGTGACTTGTGACACGGCTTTTTATCATACTGTCTTTTTTTTTGCAATGAATATAAAATTTTAAATGAAAAATGTTTTCAAAATTTTTTGCCAGTCTGTTGTTCTTAGAGTGCCTTAATTTTTTGGCATTTTAATGTAAAATGTGTCAGTTGTTCAAATTACAAAATTGTTTGCAATACAGTGTATACTTTAAGTGGGTGATAGATTTTTATTAATCAGAAATATACTTTTTTAAAATCGAATATATTCGTTTTTCCAAACTGCACTTAAATTCTTGTCTACGCCGTCACTGGGCGCCCCCGAATCGGTTATATAAGCACGTTTATCAGTGTTGCCAGTTTACTTTTTAAATCAAACTAACGGAGTAGCAGAGAGCGAAACTGCAACGGAAAATAATTTTCCCATAAATAATTTTTATGCGACGTGTTATTTCAGTCAAGAATCCGGATGAAGCACAAAACACTAAAAAATAGTCGGGTGTTTTTTAAAAAATTTATTTTTTTCCATTATTTATTATGTTATTAATTGCAGGCAAAACTAATTTGTTTTAAAATAATTTTTTTTTGCCGTTTTATATAATGTTATGTATACAGGGTGATTCACAACTTATCCAAAAAAATTTGGGAATAGATGCGGCATGAGAAATGGAGTCAATATTGTAAAAATAATGTTAGTAAAATCCTTATAGTTTCTAAAAAAAAAATTATTGAAGTTATAGCACATTAAACCACTACATAGCTGGACAACTGTAGTCTCTAGCATCATTCGCAATACACGTGGAGAGCCATGTGACTCCTAATACTGAAATCCGTCGTTGCGGTAGTTTTTACCTGTTATCTGTGTTATTTACATCAGTTTTTTAGTAGTTAGTGTCAAAAATGGCTTGCGTGTATAGCAACTCAGAGTTGATGGATATCGTTTTAATTTATGGTGAAGCAAGACAACATTTGTATTATGGTGAAGTATTTGTGTTATGGTGAAGCAAGACATCATTTGTGTTAGTTCGTAGAAAGTGAGTAAGACGGACCCAAATGTGTTTACACGTGAGTGGATAAAATTTTGAACAATTGCTGTTGCAGCATCGGGTATGTCAAATGATTTTATTATTTAAAAACACAAATTAATTTTATTAATTAATAACGGCAAAAGCAGTTGAATTTGCCGATATAAAATAGGTGCGATAAAATTCTATTTACATATTTCTTTCCTTGCGATAGTTTTTGTCCGTTTTTATCACCACGCCATACCGGTCGCATTGTGCGAGGTCAGATTTTACAGTGGACCTGTTTCCAGTGCCGTGCAGAAGTGTATTTTTAAATCAATTTCGAACTGACCTTTTTGATTTTTTCTTACAAAATTGTATTTGTAAGGGTCCCCTGTACATCCAGGATTTTTTTTGGATAAGTTCTAAATCACCCTGTATAAAAAAACATACTAACTCATAGATTTCAAATATTTTCAAAATCGTGTCAAGCTTTCAATAAAAACTATTTGTTACTATTTTTTTGCAGCACTATGTTTAGTTTGTGAATCTCAGTGCCAATAACCTTTGACATCAATGAAATTTAGGTCAATTACAAACGACTATAGGTATAGTTGTTACGATATCAATTGGATCCTGTGAATCTTAAAGCACAGGACCGTCCGCACTTCTCTTGAATTTCTTCCTATGCTTTAGCCATGATTTGTCTCATAATATATACTCGAATAGCCATTGGGCGAGTCCAGTATTGGTAGACCAGTCCGCCTGATGTAGAATCAACGGCGGCGCGCTGGTCGTCAAAGCAAACCTGTATTGGTCCACTAGGTCGTAAATAATTTTTTGCATGGTATTCTATAATTAGTTTGCCCTCTGCTAATGGATGGTTTATAAAGATAAAAAACTTGACGTGTGGTAATTATGGAATCACGACGTATAGTTGCACTTCAGGAAGATTATTTTCAAAAAATTAGAGAATATCGTCAACTAAATAGGAATATAACTCGGAATATAGTATATCTAGACGACACAGGGCAAAATTTTTCTGAACATCTATGGATTCCGTAGAGTTTATGAGTTAAATGTTTTTATGCGGTTCCAACTGGTATCGTAACGACTATAACTGGGCAAAGGAAAATCAATCGATTGTGTGACCGCTTCATTTTAATCCATTTGTTTTAGTTTTCAATTTATCGATATATGACAACATTTTTGTAATTTAGCGACATTTTATGTGAAGTATTCGCTTTTATCAGAATCAAAAGTTGATGATGAAGAAGTTAATTGAGAAGTATGATAATGCATTTAATAAGTTTTAATTTCGTAGTGAAATTAAAGTCCTATTTACTGAAGTGTCTTATGTAGTAAAGAGCATTTTGAAGTAATTTATTTCAGTGTTTAATGATGTGTGAGTGTGTGTGTCTGTGTGTCGGTGTCTATGTGTCGGTGTCTGTGTGTCGGTGTCTGTGTGTCGGTGTCTGTGTGTCGGTGTCTGTGTGTCGGTGTCTGTGTGTCAGTGTCTGTGTGTTGATGTCTGTGTGTCGATGTCTGTGTGACGGTGTCTGCCTGTCTCTCTCTCTCTCTGTGTATGTGTGTGTGTGTGTGTTCATTGTTAAATTTCTGTGTGATATGAAAAATCATGTATACTAATCAAGAAACGGATAAAAAATAAAAAAACATCAATTGCACGACGGAATTTAAAAAAATTTATATGCATATCTAAAGGTTAAAGGTAGCCTCTGCTTAAATATGACCCCCAATCAAGTTACACACTGTATTTTAATCAAGTAAGAATTCAATTTTAAAAAATTAATATAATACTATTAGTCCTACACTATTTTTACACCAGATTAAAAAACAACTAATCACATACTCTAATATTCAGAAAAAGTTAGTTGGCTAAGGTACAGTACTGTAAGGATCCAAATTTACAACTCCTTCACCCCCGAGCACACAAGTAAACCACATCGATCTACAAACTACTATGTCCCAATGTAAGATGGAGTGTGTGTGGTGTAGATTTCCAATACCTATCGAGCAAGTAAGATTTGTCGTCGAACGTGGGCGAGTTCGGTATCTTCCTCACGCTCTGAGACAGACGCCTTTGCCTCTGAACTGGGGGGCTAGTGTTACACTCCATTTGTCCGCTATCCCGCCTGTGGTCGCCCCGTTGTTAAAAGTAACATTCAGAGAAACACATAAAACATTTAAGTAACAGAGAAGGTTAGTACAGATCAGGTGGAATGAGTCGTTTTACAATGGTTTGATCGGAATGAGCGAATTGTATAGGAACAGAATTTGTTCTTTGGCAATAAATAATTGAAATGTGTAGAAATACAACACATGCACATGCACAGTCTTCTGATCGTTGATTTTTTTTAACGCCATTCATGGAAAAGCTTTTTAGAATTATTGTTATAATCAAGGAAATTTGAATTCAATTCTCAAAGTTAATGATTTTATTAAGAAATGAAATCATGAAAATAAAAAATTAAAGTAGTTTTTCATAGAACAAGAATCAATTTCAATGAAAAACCGATTATTTAGATACTTTTTTGACTTGAATACATCTATTAATTATTATTATTGCATTTTTTTTTATTTATTTAAATCCCAAAAATTGTGATGTAAAGAAAAAATTTGATGATTTGATCGTAACTTTCGAACACATAAACCAACTGAGCTGAACGAAGTGCTGATGGGACACTAAAATGAGACGCAACTATACTCGAGAGAATTATAGGCAGTAAAACCATAAATCAAACTATAACAAATAATTATTAATATTCTCTAAATGTGCCATTAATTTTGCTCAGTGTTTTGATAACATTGTTACAAACACGTATTTTCATCTTTGCTTATCGTGTACACAAAGAGAAACGACTGAGGCTACAAGGTTTGACTCCTTGAAATCCCACCCTGTCTCAGCCAGGCATGTCAGTGCTTGTCATAAGCATACAAATGGGAAAGACGTGTTATTATCTTCACGTTTTAGTTAAATATCGTTAATATTATTGTATTAAAGTGAGTTAATAAGCGTTGTTAAAAATGGAATTGGGTGTGAGTGTTAGTAACTAATCCGATAATCAGTAGTAAACGACCGAATTGAAGAGAGTAAGAGCTTTGTATAATAAACAATGTGTATTGGGGAATTTTAGCACCAAACGAGTGAGTGATGCTGTAGAAATGTGGAATTCTTTGACAAAAGGGCCTGTCATGTTATATCGTGCGTTAACAAATGGTGATAACGTAAAAAAGTGAAATACTTGGCTGGAAAAGAAATTAATTGACAATGACAAATATGCGTTTCATAGAAGACTCTCAGATTTTATTTCAAAAATAATAAAACGGAATAATAAAAAAGATTGTTCCTAGGTTGTCCCGAAAAGTTTTACTTTATACTATGCCTGGAATGAATTTTTGTTTTTCTATGAAATTAAAAAAAACGTGGTCTTAACTTTTGGCGGCACAATATATTAAAAAAATTCGAAAAATGTCATATTTTTCTTCCTATTTAATTATGTATCCTTTCAAGAGTTGATTTTTGTTGTTTAAACAACAATTAAAGTATAATTCAAATATTATTTACTGTTTAAAATATAAGCAAATGAGAAATTAACTCATTATATTACAAAAATACTAAATTATAGTACAAAAATTCGACCAATATTTAAACAAGCGCCAGAGCTCTCCTAATTGACGGATTCGAATTTTTCAAAAAAAGTTTGAAAGCTTGAGAGCCCTTCTATATGTGATTCAAGTATCTAAGGGCCATGGCTTTTGCTGTGCAAAATTTTGAAAATTTGCAAATTTTCTTTCAAAATCTATCGAACCGTTTTTGATGAAATTTGGTGTGATGATTCTACATAACAAGAACTTTTCTTGAGCTAAGTATGAAGGTCCTATACCCAACTTAAAGACCCCAAAAAAATTCCCTAAATAGTAATGTTTTTTAACCCCATTTTTGGCAATTTTTTAGATTTTTACAATAATCATGATTCCTTTGATTTGTAACTAGTCATATTTTGTAAAATTTAATTACAAATATTTTTTCCCTCTCCTATTTTCGCCTAAAATCAACTCTTGAAAGGATACATAATTAAATAGGAAGAAAAATATGACATTTTTCGGAGATTTTTAACATATTGTGCCGTCAAAAGTTAAGCCCACGTTTTTTTTTTATGTGTGTATAGAAAAATTCTCATAAAGCCAAAAAGCCAAAAATCTCCGTAGATATACGATTCACTCAAACATGGACTCTTTGAAACAGATACCGTCTGGACTAGGTTTGCGGGTCTCTAGAATCTAAAAAAAACCTAAATGCTAAATATAAATGAGAAAAAAATAACTTCCAGAAGAAGAACTTATACGATTATCCACGAGGGTGTAGATTACCTTGATATAAAATTTAATTGAGGATATCGGGGTCTAAAGTGGGCCAAAATAAATTTAAATGGGAAAAAAATTAATAACTCGGAGGTGACGTTTGGCAAACAATTTTTTTTTGGTTTTTTCTGACTTGGAAACGACTTTTGGAAAATGCAAAAAGAACAAAATAAATCAAAAGAGCTTGTGAGGTTTGTATGAGGAAGTTTATTTTTCTGAACCTTCTAAAATGATACTCCTATGGAACATTCCGCGTATGCCTTACCCGTTGCGTGGACTAACATGTTGAGAATGAGTCACCGCCTACTATTTTGCCACTGATGGCTTATATCTCAGTAATCAGAAATCGCAGAGAGGTGAATGCGCCCCATTAGAATCATCTTGAAGAGATAAATCTAACGTGCTAGGTCCCAAAGCGACAGCTTTTGAAATGGCCAATATATAGCCCCTGTACTTTAAAAAACAATATGTTATGAACGTTTTGATGTCTCATTTGTCAAAACCGGTAACGGAATTTAAAAATTACATCAACCCTGTAAAGTTAATTTCAGTTTAGAGCACAATAATTCACTACAATTTCACAATTAGAGGGTAAATATTAATAATCTACTCAAGCAATCTCGTTTTACCATTCCCTACAAATAAATTTTTAGCTAAAGCATTCAAATTTCTTACTATAGAAAACCAAAGTTCATGCAAAACTTAAAAAACTAACATGCGTTGTTAAAAATCATTTCTACCGTCCAAATTCAACATGCAATATAAAATATCAGCGGTCTCACCTGTTCCTCTCACTTAAAAGAGAAATGTGGCAGTTCCAGCCGCTCTCCAGCCCCATTTTCTCGCTGAACACCCTCGACCTCAGTTCGTTCTCCTTACTGAAATGCACGAACCTTATGCACGCCCGCTCCAGTTGTTCTATAAGTTGAACCTAAAAAGCAACTGTAGTCTTTAATTTCGACAACGGCAAAGTCGAAATGAGACCGACATACCATGTCCGTCATCGCTTGGTATTGCATGGTCACCATCCCGATGAAAATCTGGTTGCACTGCATCTGAAAACAACTTTCGGCATCCGACACGTTGCCGACGATGGGATAGTCGTTATACAGAAGGGAGTCTGTAATAAAAAAAAAATGTTCGAACGGCAACACCAGGAGCGGTTTCTTAAAAATATAGAGAAATTGTAACGTTTGAACATTTCTTAACTTACCGGTGCTATAAAACTGCGCCGCAGACTTGATCTTCGGCTCCAATACGCTCTTACAGTCCCACTGGGCGGGCGTGGGGCTCCTGTGGTTTATATACAAATGCCGGGAGTCGCTGGGAAGCTCCAGGTACACCGTGCTCAATTTGCCGTTAACGCACTTGGTAAGCGGCCTAAAAACAACCCATTTCGAAAAGTTACGATCAGTTATACGATGCGTACCTATAGGCGAACGCGGTACAATACGCCGTCAGGCTGCTCCTCTGGTAGAAGTCTTGGATCTTCTTCCTGTCGGATATCATCAGCGGCATCAGGTCGTGCCCATCCCAATAATCGACGCATGAATCCAGGATTATGTCGGCGGTGCCCTCGGAGAGCAACTGAATGTTACCGGAGGATAATTCTTTAACGACAACCGCGAACATGTGTGGGAACGGAAATTTCAGTTTCGTCGACAGTTGCAGGGAACGTGCGTATTTATTGTCTCTTCTGACCATTTCTGGTTGCTGAAATACATACATAATACAGGGTGCGGCGCTTAATGATCCCTCTGGTGTTGGCTTAGAAATCAAACATATTTTAAAGTCGGTATTGGTTACAAATATACAGGTTCGGAAAGCCCCCATGGTTCATCGGCCGTTACGTGAGAGCGATAAAGTAAGTCATAGAAATCCGTGCGATAGAGGCGATAATGAAGGCGTCTCATAGTCACCGCCCGTTTCGCCCTTCCACAAATAAGATCCACTTCCGCTTGTAATTCAGCGACCGGTGGTCATCTTTATTTTCGTTGTTTGCCTTTTCTTTAATAGATGTCACTACTTATACAATTCAGACGCCCGTATTCCGATATGTTAATACAATCCGTTAACAGCGGGCAGCACAATTTCTCTAAGGTGAGATTTTTTTGGAATTGGGGAAATAGGGAATTTTGCTTTATTTCTTGGAATAATAAAAGTATACTTAAATAACAACTAAATGAACATTAAATGCAGCTGAGCAATATACTCCATTTGAGTAACTTCTCAGTAGGGGAAACAAGGTCACTAGATTTACAAACAGAGGTATCTACTAGCTACTGTAAAAAGTTTTCTGTTACGTGTTGTGCTGCCCTCTGTTAACGGATTGTATTAACATATAGGAATACCGAAGTCGGAATTGTATAAGTAGTGATAGCTATTACAGAAAAGGAGCGCCATTATTCCATGGCTAGAAATTGGCCTCAATGATTTGGGATCGAAGGGGATTATCCCTCTTTATCACAGAAAAGGCAAACAACGAAAACAAAGATGACCACCGATCGCTGAATTACAAGTGGAAGTGGATCTTATTTGTGTAAGGGCGAAACGGGCGGTGACTATGAGACGCCTTCATTATAGCCATCCTTCTCTATCGTACGGATTTCTATGACTTACTTTATCGCTCTCACGTAACGGCTGATGAACCATGGGGACTTTCCGAACCTGTATGTATATACAGGGTGGCCAAATGAAAACGAAACAGAGCCATTTTCAGGAACTACGTCAAGATTGCAGAAAAGCGCTCAGACCCGTCGATTTTAGATTAAAGGGGGACATTCTTTGCTGATATTTTTGACTCCGCCACTTTCATCCCCAAGCAAGGGTAAGCATCACCCCAAAATATTTAAATGGCATTGGGGATTGAGTAATATTTCTTTTGAAAGCTCTTACAATTCTTTTTACAGCAGATTTTAAATTTTATAATTCCGCCCAATACTTATTAAGAATTTTGATTTTAAAGTTGAAACTTATGTACAAACGATTAGTAACGGTAAAAATGCCAGTCATTCGAGTTAAGTACGCCAATGGTATAAATTTAGTATTTCTTGCGTTACATTGGTTTTTGGCGATTTGTTCACTTTCGTAAAAAAAAAACACAATTGTAAAAAACAGAAATGAATGCTACACACACACAATTAACGTAAAATTAGTGGATTCCAAATTATTTTCTAGTATTATTTAGAAGCGTTGGTTGGTAGTTTATTTAATTGTTTTTGAAAATTAAACACTATGGTTTTATTCCATTGCGGAAAGGGTAGATTTGGCTTTACTTTATGAACAATAAATGTGCGAATAGAACAGCTCAGCTATTTAATGAGCAACATCAAGATCGACATGTCAGGAGGGAAGTATGTTCTAGAGTTAGTAAAAAAATTTCAGGAGACAGGGAACGTAGCCAATAAAATAAAGTTAATGAAGCTAGTGGTTGCAGTTTCGTTACAAGTTCATCTTGATCCTACATTAAGTACGAGGCAGCTGGCGTCTGTTCCTGGGATCAATCGAACTGGCATACAAACCATTTTGAAGAAGAATAAATTCCATCCATACAAAATACATTTAGTCCAGGAACTTCATGAGGATGATTATGACCGCCGTTTGTAATTTTGCGATATAATGAGTGAGCGAGCAGGGAACGACCCACAGTTCCTTTTTGACATCTGTTTTTCTGATAAATGCAGTTTTTTCTTGAACGTGACGGTAAATCGTCACAATTGCTGCTATTGGTCCGATTCAAACCCAAGAGTTTTTCACGAGGTGCACACACAGCAACCGGAAAAATTAAATGCATGGGCTGGAATTTTCGGTGACCGACTGGTGGGTCCTTTTTTTCTACCTCGTAATTTGACTGGCCAAATGTATTTGCAATTACTGGAAGACGCTATTGACCCTGCCTTGACTGATATTATCGAAAATGTTCCAGAGTATGATGGAGATCATTTGATTTTTCAACAGGACGGTGCTCCTCCGCATTATGCGTTAATTGTCCGTCAGTATTTGGACCAACGTTTTCTACAGAATTGGATTGGGAGAATGGGCAGCATTGAGTGGCCTTCACGATCACCGGATTTATCGCCCCTTGATTTATTTTTGTGGGGATACCTAAAAAGTAAAATCTATAAAACACAGCCAGCGTCGCTGGAAGATTTGCGTCAAAGAATCTTCGACAAATGCCGTCGAATCACTCCAGAAATACTTCGGAATGTGCGGAAACGTTTCGAACAAAATCTTTATTCTTGTATAGAAGCGGGCAGTGTCAACATTTAATCAACTAAGTAAGCAATTAAACATAATTTAAATTTTAAAATGTAAATTTTTAACAAAGTATTGGGCGGCATTATAAAATTTAAAGTCTGTTGTAAAGAGAATTGTAAGAGCTTTCAAAAGAAATATTACTCACCCCCCAATGCCATTTAAATATTTTTTACTCTTGCTTGGGGGTGAAAGTGGCGGAGTCGAAAATACCAGCAAAGAATGTCCCCCTTTAATCTAAAATCGACGGGTCTGAATGTTTTTCTACAATCTTGACGCAGTTCCTCAAGGGCTGTTTGCTGTTTCGTTTTCATTTGGCCACCCTGTATAATTTGTATCTTCATACAGTGTATAGAAAGAGAAATTATCAGCACTGCACAGTTTTATTTCTCAATTTATTTATTTCCTGCTTAGTTGTTTCATTTCATATCATATGCGTGCAAATAAGAAAAACGTGTTATTATTTTCACTCATTATTCCAGTGTGTTTTTAAAAATTGAATGGCAAATTTAAGAAAATCTACAATGCTTTTCACAGATTTTAAGTGTTCTTAACAAAGTGTCCATCAGAAGTCTGTACCACAGATCTACATGTTGAGAACAAGTCGCTATCTACAATTTTGGAACTCTGGTACTATATTCTCCACTTACCAAATGCCTAAAAGTAGATAACTGTTCCTCCAACGAAAATATCTTCTGCGCCTGATCCATGAACCCTATCTCCTTTGCCAATTCGCAGAGACACCTCCTGTTGGTCACGGGCACTAGATTCTCGTTGTAGATCGCCTCGCAAGTGATGTGGGAACAAAAAGCCGTATAGCATTCCTTTAAAAAACTAATCGGCTTCCAAAATCGGCGACGGCTTAATAATAACAATACTAACCTGGGTGTCGTAGTTACACGTGTTCAACAAGATAGCCAGACCCAAAGGCTTCAAAGACGGAAGATACTTTTGCCAGTCGTGGTCGTCGAAATGCAGCTCAAAGGGATGGTTGTGATTGGGCGTGAGATCTAGAACTTCGGCGGTGGCGCTAATTGGGCTGTCGGGATGGAAGCTGTAGTTCGGCGGTGCCGAGCTGTCCGCGTCGTTTGAGAGGTCGTTTACGTTGCCCAAACTGAAACAATATGCGGCTAGGAGGGTGATAAAGAAGATATAATATAAATTATGTACGTTTTTATATCGGAATAAATTAAAAAAAGGAAATGAAAAGTTGTAGAACTTATATTTATTGCATACAATTATTTGACAACTAGTCTACAGGGCCTATGTTATGCACCCCATCTTCAGGTCACTTTTAAGGAAATCGTATTTTAATTTTGATAAACAATGTTTAAGTCAAAATGTCAAAGCGGTGAAAACAGTTTTTTGTGGCGCTGTTATTAGAAACAATTTTTTTTATATAAAGAAGTTTTAGTTATTTGCAAGGGTCTTATTAAAATTTTTGTGACATATATGCAACTCATTATTCGCACAATTGAAGGTAATAAAAATACTGTAACTCCTACAATTAAAAAAAGTTTCAATCTTTTATAACGAATGTAGAATAAAAAATGCCGCAACTCTGCCATTTTTTATTTGATTTAAAAAAATTAAAGATCGACGATAATGGCTCTAAAAATACTACAAACACAATATAATTTTTTTTAAAGAAAATGATATTTGTACATGTATTCACTTAATATCATTTGGTATTTTTTCCTAATCTAACGATATATGATTAAATAAAAAAATATGTATCACTTTTTTCGCTTTGTAAATAGACCAGACGGTATCCATTTCAAAAAGTCCATATTTGGGTGAATTGTATATCCACGGAGATTTTTGGCTTTTTGGCTTCAAATATCACTAGAAATGAAAATTTTTCTATGCACATAAAAAAAAACGTGGGCTTAACTTTTGGCAGCACAATTATGTATCTTTTCAAGAGTTGATTTTAGGCGAAAATGGAAGAGGAAAAAATGTTTGTAATAAAATTTTTTACAAAATATAACTAGTTACAAATCGAATGAATCATAAATTATTGTAAAAATTGACAAAAATGGGGTTAAAAAACATTACTTTTTAGGGAATTTTTTGGGGTTTTTAAATTGGGTATAGGACCTTCATACTTGGCTCAAGAAAACTTCATGTTATGTAGAATCATCATACCAAATTTTATCAAAGTCAGTTTGATAGATTTTGCATAATTTTGCAATCCAAATTTTGAAAAAAAAATTCAAAATTTTGCACACCAAAAACCAAGTCCTTTAGATACTTGAAAATTTAATCACATATAGAGGGGCTTTCAAGCTTTCAAACGCTTTTTGAAAAATTCGAATCCGTCAGTAGAGCTCTGGTGCTTGTTTAAACATTGGTCGAATTTTTGTACTATAATTTTGTATTTTTGTAATATAATGAGTTAATTCCTCATTTGTTTATATTTTAAACAGTAAATAATATTTGAATTATACTTTAATCACAAAATAAATGATGATTAAATTAATAATTAATTAATTAATTAATTAATTAATTAATTATTAATTTTCGACATACATATTTTGAAAATAATTGTTGTCTAAACAATTTTAAAATACTTAAATTTTGTTTTTGATCTTTGAAAAACAGTATATAAGTTTATGCACTTACCTTTGATGCAATAAAAAAATAAAGTTGATAATTAAACTAAGTTTAAAGATAAATAATTATCAGACTATTGAAAGACCAATAATTATTAACGATAGGCATTTGAAAATACGCTAATTGTTTTTTATTAAATCGCGACACATCGATTTAAAAAAATAATCATCAAAATCGGACCTCTAGAAGCTGATATTAAAAATTTTTAAGCGCGTCGCAGCTTTTAATTCGCCAATTCAATTTCGAGCAGGCCGAAGCGGCCGTGCTCTCTGCTTCCCCCACCACCACCACCCGTACGATTTTCTTGAATTTCTCGCTTGCATAAATAACTTTTAAACACGTTTTAAAGTAAGTTTCCAATGAAGCTAAGTATTGCAAAATTAGACCTGATAAGTACTCGGAATACCAAAGGTATTTTTTGCAAAATTTGCCCAGATGTTCCAGTACATTTAGTGTAAATGACGGTTAACTTTGATCGGCTATAACTACGTAACTAATTGACTAATCGATCTGTTTTTTTTTAAAGAAGCGTCTTTCCAATACATTTTAAAACCTGCTTTAAAAAATTTGATTTGGTTAAATATTCACAGTTATTCTAATTGTTTATAAGTACAAAATGTTTAAACAAGCGCCAAAGCTCTCCTAATTGACGGATTCGAATGTTTCAAAAAGCATTTGAAAGCTTGAGAGCCCTTCTATATGTGATTAAATTTTCAAGTATCTAAGGGCCTTGGTTTTTGCTGTGCAAAATTTTGAAAATTTGCAATTTTTTTTTCAAAATTTGGATTGCAAAATTATTATGCAAAATCTATCAAACCGATTATGATGAAATTTCGTGTGATGATTCTACATAACATGAAGTTTTCTTGAGCCAAGTATGAAGGCCCTATACCCAATTTAAAGACCCCAAAAAAATTCCCTAAAAAGTAATGTTTTTTAACCCCATTTTTGGCGGTTTTTCGATTTTTACAATACTAATCATGATTTTCGCCTAAATCAACTCTTGAAAAGATACATAATTAAATAGGAAGAAAAATATGACATTTTTCGAATTTTTTTAACATATTGTGCCGCCAAAAGTTAAGCCCCGTTTTTTTATGTGCATAGAAAATTTTTTATTTCTAGTGATATTTGAAAGACAAAAAGCCAAAAATCTCACCAAAACCAAAACAGATACCGCCTAGTTTAAAATGAATTTGGGCAATAAAACACATTATATATAGAAAAAAAAATGCCTATTATTAAGGAATCTTTAAAGTAGTGCGATAATCCTTAGATAGTGTTAGTTGGTAAACAATTTTAATATTTTCGAATGACTAAAATGTTTTGTGCAATTTAAATGAAAATGTGTATACATGTCACATTGTGACATAACTTTAGCATTTATCACATATTTTACATTACTATGGAAGATAAACAAGAAAATGTACCTGCAGAATTCAAATATGTTAACAATAAACATTGAAAATCTTCAAATATTTCAATTACTCTATTTTAAATAGCTTATTTAAACGTGTATAAATATTAAAGGAATTTTTAGATTCAATATAAACAATCTAATTTATTTTTATCGCATTCCAGGTAACGCTTGTGGTTACACAAAGCAATTACGTTATCACATTTTAAATATTAATTGTTTTTTTCGTAATTCTATAACTTTTATTCCATACCATAAACCATCGTTTACTACCATATTATAAAATTGGCAAGGGAGAGATTAATTGTTACGATACCAATAAACTTGCTTAATTTGAAACGAAGCTTTAATAGTACAAGTTTGGACAGCATAAAATCTATTTTTTCTTACCTGGAGGAGGGAGAATCTTCCATATTGTTGTGTAGGAAAAATACTTTTTCTGCAGTCGGATTTGGCCATGAAAGAATGCCCTTTTTATCGATACATCCCAAAGCCTAAAATAAAAAAATTATTAATATATTTCTGAAAATAATATAATAAAAAATACAAAAAACGTTTACTTGCCGTGACCGATCCAAGCACATGTAAAATGTTAGAAGATCTAGTCAAAATTTCCGGTTTTCCTTTAATAATCGCTTTAAAGTTCGCACAAAGTTCTCTTCGACTGATTTTAAGCTCCCTATGATCCACTATATTATTATCTGCGTCTTCCTCCAAAGGATTCGAGTTTGTTTCAAACACCACAGTAACGTCAAAAATCGTCTTAAACCTGAAAAATATGAATACAAATTGCAAATTATTCCCTTAATATGACAATTACCTTGCCATTCCTACGTAGTTCGCAACATTCCACACCAACGGGAAGACCAACGGCAAGAGCGGCAGAATCACATTACTGGGAACGATAAATAAAGTATTCGAAACCAAATACCTCCCTAGGTATTTGTGAAAATAAAAATACCTAAACAAATTGACTAACAACACTAAAATAAACGTAATGGGTAGAAGGACCCTTTCTATAACCTTTATCGTAACTAAATGCCTCTGCTGGTTCAGCTGGGTTATGGGCTTGTCGAGAGCCTGTTCTAAAAAGACTTTTAAGTTATTCAAGTAAGGCGTTTCTAACAGGCGATATTTCTTCGGTTCTAACGGTTTCCGAGACTTGGGAGCGCTAAAAATTTCATTAGCGTTCTGGATAGACGGGGAGTAGACTTCTTTGGCATGTAACAAGGGGCATTCCGAGTGTTTCTCGATAGCCTCGCAGTACCCAGGACTGATTTGACCTAAAAAACAATAAAAGCATTATTAAATAAACCCGCAAGGCAATCGTTTTCCATACCTGGTCTCATCAAGATAATATCGTCCTTGACGAGCAAAGCCCATGGTAAATTGACTAACTTATTATCTCTGTACGTCCACTGTAAGGTGATACAAGGCGACAGCGGTGAACACAAATTGGGGTAGTTATCGCCAGTCCAGTAAATACCATTTATTTCCTTCTTCAACTTATTTAACACTGATCGAACTCTGTTAGGAATCTCGTTATGCCTTAGTCTATTATCGTATAATTCCAAAGCAACGTTTATAACTATTAACGTTAGAATTGGCAGTGCCTCGTAACCAGCTACATTATCACCCTCCAACAGATAACCAATAAGGAGAGATAATGCTGCCCAAACTCCAAAGCAAACTGACACAATGTTAATGGTTGTGTGCCGGCTCTTATAGGATAAAGCATCTTTTACCCAAGACTTTGATTTTCTAAAACAAAGACAAGTGATGGCTATAGCTTCGTATCGCCGCTAACAGTTAAAGGTAATAACCTTTGTTTTAAAATAATTTTTAATTTATACACAAATGAACCCAACAAACAAATTATTAGGTAACAGGTTAAACTTACCTGGACTTCTGGGAATGTTTGTACTGTTGCAGAACACTGTCGATTTCAACATAAAGTTTATTTAAGGCATCTCGGGTGTTCAAACCAGTGTCTTCATTTGGAATTTCCATATTTCCATGTTTTTTAAGATAAATTTTAAGGTTATAACCTTACTTTTATTTTCTGCCATATATAACCACAGACTCACAATAATACCAACTTCATACCAAACCGCACAAAACCACAAAACTATCAACCACAAAACACATATAGAAGTACTGAAAAGAAAGAATCTATGAAGGAATTAGAAACTCTACTGCCATTATCGCTTAAAGTGATCTTGTTCTACTACCCCGTAAAGAACTTCATCACTTAGTCATTCCAAAGTCATTCACGGGTCGTATGAAATTTGAGCGAATACGTCTATCTATATATTTTTTTATTAATGACCGAATAGTGCAAATAAGGTCTCTTTATTTATATTTTCAATTATAATCTTCGAGCATACCGAAGATTATAATCGGGCCAACTTCATTATTTTTGTCACTTTCCATTTTGATTTATAAGTTGATATTTTTTATCAAATGTGTAAAAATATTCAATAAACGCACCAACTTGAAGGAAAGCGGGTAACATGGTTCTTAATGAACGGATCAGTTCAACTAGGGGTTAGGGGTGCGTTCATTCACCACTTCTCTGAAGATGACAAATTAACAAATGTCATGCGGTAAGGTCACATACTTCTATCCTATACTGATCATTACCTATAGTTTCAATGGATGACCTTGTTTCCAAAAAGGGGGGGCGAGACGTACTCCGTGTGTTTTGCGCATGTTCCATAATTAGGCGCGGTTGCATTCAAATTTAAAAGATTGTCACGGCATGCTCTGTACTATAGCCGAATATATACATATAAGATATTAAATCTATTTTCACTGAGTTCACTTCAATTTCTAAATGTTTACTTTTCTACCATTTTCTTCTATGAGTCCTCTACTGATATGCTCCTTATCTAACACATTATTTTACTATTTAGTTATTTCAATAAATAACGTAAGTATCTGCATAACCTATTTAATATTTTGCAGGCTCAAATAAAATAAAACAGAATACAAATTTATATGCTTTTAAAACTATATACATATGCATGGTTCGTTTATTATAATGGTTTCTGCAGTTTATTTAATAATATAAAAAAACATGCTATAAAATATCTGTAAGAGACCAATCCGATAATAATGTCCATGATTAAGGTGGCCATATCCCTGGCCGAGAAATGGTGAAATTTCTGGCATTTTTAGGTACTGAAATCTTGAAAAGTAAAACGTGTAGAACAAAAGTAAGCACAAAAATAAAATCCTTGATGTTTTATTTATTCATTGTTACCATTTAAATTTACCCAAATAAAATAATAACAAAAAAAAAGCGTTTGTAAAACATGCGTTTTCTGTTTATCCTAACCCCACATTTTAAGAATTATTTTCACGTAATTATAAATAAAAGTAAACAATTTTATATGTAGGACTAAGGAAGTAAATGTTATAAGAATATTTACATGTGGAGTTATATATAAAAAAGTTAGTATTTTCGTAGATTTCAGTACCTAAAACCTTGATGGTTTGATCGTTTTTTACACCTGTTTATTCGTTTTACTGAGGCGTCTTTGAAAATACTCAGGTGGCATGACATAACAGTCCTATTATTTGATAAACTTTAGATTATTCAGTTATTAAATGTTTGAAATTATTTGTCTTTGCGGAAAACACTATTTAAAGGCCCTTAAGGAAGGCTCTTATCGAGTATAATTTTGAAACATTTTTACTAAATATCAACACAAGACAAATTAATAGAAGAATTAGTGCAGGTTTAAACAGATTATGAAATAAAACTCAAAAGATACATTTATTTATTTATTTATTAAAATATACACTATACCATAACAGTTTCACCAAAGCACTAGCACAACACAAAACAAAATGAGAATATTTTTTAGGTTAGCTCGGTTTGGCTTTTTACCGCTCGGCGCTCACCGTTCTTGGTTCCTTTCAACCAATCAAAACCCGTAAAGTAAACGCATGCGTATGAATATGCTGGTACGTCGCCCCACTTTTCGGCTTCAAGTCAATTGCAAAATGATCAGTATAGGATAGAAGTATGTGGGTAAGGTATAAGGACAATTTTTCTTTATCATGAAGAGACTAAATAATTAAAAGAAAAAAGGAAAAAGGTATCCTAAGCTGGGAGACAAGGAGACGAAGACGGAGGGAAACAGTAAAATGACAGGTAAATAATTTTTTTTTTGATTAAAATATTGTATTACGCTTCGGTTTATGTATTTTACAGTCCATTGTAAATAATTATAGTGATTGTTTCTTATTAAAATGTTTATCTGCAAGACAAATCATTTACTAATCGTAGAGCAGTGCCTAAATTAATGCTATTATAATGATACAGCAACAGCAATCATTTATGTTACTTACAAAGAATAATATTTCAGTAATTTTACATTAATTCCCATGAAGATAGATATTCGCATGTACGAAATAAGAACATTTCTTGCTGATTTTTTTTTACTTATTTATGAATTTTCAAGGGCAAATTGCTGTTATCATTACTTTCATTACTAAACTCCGTCTTGTAATGGTGTTATCAGATATAAAAAATATATTTTGTTAAAGAAAATGATTTGAGGAAATCTGTTTGGTATATTTAGGAATTATGTTATAATTATTCCATTGAATCAAAGATAACTCAAAAATAGATGCAAGTATAATTTTATTCATTTGATCAAAATGAAATCATGCTGTGCATTTCTTTGCTACTGTATTAAAATGCCTATTTGTTGCAGATTAGGCATATAAAATGGATACAGATTACAATGAAAAAATAATAAGGGTTTTGAAGAAGTTACTGGAGTCCGATTTTAAAATAAAAAATGATGTGTACCTCAATTCATTACTGACCCACCTGACGAAAGAGCCAGGTATTTGGAGAGTAAAATGTTTGGCATACAGCTTTGTTAACATCTTTATTTTACAGAAAATGGTTGCGACGAGGCCTGGAGAACCGACATAAATCAGTATGTCTCGTGCTGGATAGGGGATGCCGTTACTCAGTGGGAAAAGTTAGGAGTGTATTCGGCCCCGGCAGTTTTATCGTTCACATTGAATATAGCCAGTTACATATGTAAAGATGAACAAACATTTGTGATGCTGAACAGCCGTAATATTTTCGAACGTCTAATTACACTGATCGGTATAAAGAAACCGACCACCGACCCGTCTGTAAAACTAGGATACATTCGACTGATTTCTTCGTTTCTAGATCACAAGTCGGGTCTACAATGGATTATTTCTACAAATTATTGGGCGGACATAATGTGTTTAACTTTAAAAAATCAAACATTGTACATTACAAAAGAAGGTTATCGGTTCGTAACGGCATTGTTAAGAAAGTCTATAAAAATAAACGAGAGTTTCTGTCACAACGTTATACAACTCATTGTGGCCCCGTTGAGTACAAATTCTCCTTGCGTGTCCCCTAGTGCAGTGACAAACGTTTTGGAAGTGAGAGACCAAGCGATCTACCAGTCTCTGTGTACCAGTTTAATGCTGCTGACTGAGATTTTACAACTAATGTTGGAAGACATTAATTCGGACAATAATCACAAGGTAGTGATGATCTTTATTGATAAGTTCAGTTTGGAACAGAAGTTAAGGAGTTTGTTGGTTGTAGCACAAAATGAAGAATTTGTATTCGATTTGTACAAACTGCTGTTCCTCATCACAATGTTCGAGTTGTACGATCGGTTTTCCGGAAAGAAGATTATAGATGTCGAGTCGGCAAGTGATAAATCATCGAAAGTGTTTAATATATTCTCAGAAAACGTCCACAGGGGATCAGTGATTAATATTTTGAAATTGACTTATACGGGATACATTTATTGGCAGTGTATCGGAAGGTTCATGCCAACCTGTGTAAGGAATGTCGACGATCCCGTACCCTTACTCTTTGAAAATCAGTTGCTGATGTTGCAGTTATTCCCAATCATTTCGGTCAGTTTGAGATTGTTAGGGGAAAAAGAGGCGGAAGAGAGACTGTCTGAAGACGAAGTGCGTGAACATTACGTGGACCAACTCTTAAAAAAGTCTATTCAGTCCACTGTGAGAATATTCTATTTATGGAGAAATTACTTGGCAAACAACCCCTACATGTTTGACCATGCCACTTTGGCATTAAATTACCTAATTAAGTCGAAGTCAAGGTTTACGCGAGATCAGGGCGTTGCAGCCTTCCAGACGCTGATATACTGCTTGCAGGATATAATTAATTCGCTAAAAATGAAACCCGAAAATATTTTAATGTTAGCTAAGGAATACAATTATATGGCGCTGCTTTTGGACGCTATTGCGATTTTTATTAACGAGTTTAATTTCACCTGGAGGGACAGTTTGGAGTCCATCTGTGTCATGAACCTGGCGTTTGAATTTCTGAGCATACCGACGTGGCCGACCAAGGTAAGTTCTTTTATCTGTATAGTTTGAACCTGTTTCACATTTAACTTTTTTTTGTTCTGATGAGTCGTTAAAAAATTGGCCAAAAGTTATAGATGCAATAGAATTGGTTTTGATTTATTGGCCCGGTTTGGTGATTTTTAGTGAGTTTTAATAGTTTTCCAATGTCGGCTTTAAACTTGTGTATTAACTGTAACAGTTTTTTTCAACTTATTTGCCTTTTGTACTCAATACGGTTACAAACAATGCGTACATTTACAAACAATTCCAGACGTTATAAACAATTACAAGCATTTGCAAAATTGCACAAAATTATTTCTTGTCGTTAACAAGTCTTAAAAGGACATTTCCCAACTGCATAAATTAAGAAAAGTCTTGACCATCATTTGGATTGTGAACGAATATTAATGCCTTGTTATTCTCACTTTTATGACCTTCCCAATCTTGAGGTTATCGACCTCACCACGCATCACTCGCGAATCTATTTAATTTCTCTTAAGGTGGCCATATCCCTGGCCGAGAAATAGTCAAATTTCTGGCGTTTTTAGGTACTGAAATCTTAAAAAGTAAAACTTGTAGAACAAAAGTAAGCACAAAAATAAAATCCTTGATGTTCTGTTTATTCATTGTTGTTATTTAAATTTACTTAAATAAAATAATAACTTAAAAAAAAGCGTTTATAAAACATGCATTTGCTGGTATTCTAACCCCACATTTTAAGAATTATTTTCACGTACTTATAAATAAAAGTAAACAGTTTTATGTATAGGACTAAGCAAGTAAATGTTATAAGAATGTGGACATGTGGAGTTGTATATAAAAAAGTTAGTATTTTCACAGATTTCAGTACCTAAAACCTTGAAGGTTTGATCGTTTTTTGCACCTGTTCATTCGTTTTACTGCGGCGCCATATTCTTGACAATTAGCCAGGGAAAAATCCTTACACTTTTGTCTGAAACATTTTTTCCAAAAATGCTTTCATCGAAAGTTTTTCTGCCATACCGGGACTTTTGGATAACCCTGTATGTTACATATTTGGTCTAATCCCGCCCGACTTTTCTTTTTTAATTACTTTTTCACAACATAAAAAGATAAAAAAATTAAATGTTAGAAATTATATTCTTGTCAGTTTGTGATTCTCATATATTCTACTTCTTTGAGTCATTTTATTACGAATATTGGGAAGATTAGTGGCTTTGCTTCATAAACTCTATTTTTAAGGTAATTCCACAAACATTAATTCGGAGGACTTAAATCAGTGTTATTCGCTTGCCATTGGAATATTTCAAAATCTACCTATCCAAAAATTAAAAGTACTATTCGATTCAATGGGGATTTTTTAAAATTGCAGTTAAATTTTTTTAAATATTGGCAAGACCCTCCCCTTTATGCACTTAACTCCTGATTTAAATCCTCTGAATACATTTTTCTGGGTTTACCTTAAAAGTAATCTTATGAAATCTTCAAGGTATTCATAATAAAATTAATGAAGAAATAGAATTAATAAATGGCAACCACAAAAGCTATAAATAAATTAAAATGCAGTTATAAGTTATGCATAAAACAAACTAATGTTCAAATCATTTATTTGATAGTTGTGCACCAAAAAAATATCAAGTTTTTTAAGTTAAATAATTATGACAAAGAAGGTCTTTTTATATTCTTCAATATTCAAGTTTTGATCATGGTAATCAAGATATACAGGGTATCCCATCGGCAACTGCGTCGATCGATATCTAAGAAAGTACTGCTCCAAAAAATTTGAAAATTTGGCAACATGGCAATGTCCCGAGGGCGAACACAACTGAAATATCTAGAAGTCTCCAACACTTCCCGGTTATACCGGAAGTCGACTACAACTTCGTTATTGTAAATGGGACAACCTATTTATTATTTCATCTTCAAATTCTACTTGATTTTTGAGGGTCAGTTTATTAAATATTCCCTATACCTAGGAGTTATAGATATTGAGATATTATTTTTTAAAGAAAAAATTTGACAGATGCAAGGGTTCGCGGAGATGCTAGTAACTATTTTTTTTTTTGTAGGAGCGTGATATCAAGCTGATTTTTGGTACTTGTGAAGGGCATAGGTAACTCTAAATTATGGTATACCAACAAATTAAAACATTTAATACTAGGTGTTTCATTTTTGCTGTTACATTTTGATAACTTTAAAGAGCTATAACTTTGTTAACTTAAATGAAACACCCCGTATTTTTTTACTCTGTCGTATGCAGAATGAAATTTCTTTTCATGCCATATATGCATTGTTAAGGTTGCCGTTACTATTTTTTGGAGATATTTGCAATTTTCTATATTTTTGGACACTTTTTCTCGTATCAGACCTGTTGTCAAGTTAGCCATGACCAGAAACACTCCAAAACAATTAAAATAACGACATTTGTCAAGTTAGTTTTTGCTGAAAATGTAAATAAATATTCCTGGGGATCGTTTAAATAAATTATACTTATGAGGATTATTTTAATTTGTTTGTTATTTATGGAAAAAAGGAAAAGCAGATTCTCTACATATTCTTGAAATTACTTTTGTCACATTTTCCATAAATAACAAACAAATTTAAAATAATTCTCATTAGTATAATTTAAACGATCTCTAGGCATTTTTATTTATATTTTCAACAAAAACTATTTAGATACAACAATAGTTTGACAAATAACTTGTCAAATGTCATGTTATTTCAATTGTTTTTGGTGTTTCTGGTCATGGCTAATTTCACAACAGGTCTGATATGAGAAAAACTGTCCAATAAATAGAAATTTGCAAAAATCTCTAAAAGTAGTAACGGCAACCCTAACAATGATTATATGGCTTGAAGGGAAATTTCAAACTGCCTACGACAGAGTAAAAAAATACAGGGTGTTCCATTTAAGTTAACAAATTATAGCTCTTTGAAGTTATAAAAATGTAACAACAAAAATGAAACACCTGGTATTAAATGTTTATTTGTTAGTATACCATAATGTAGTGTTACCTATGCCCTTTACATGTACCAAAAATCCACTTGACATCACGCCCCTGAAAAGAGTTACTAGCATCTCCGCGGACCCTTGCATCTGTCAAATTTTTCCTTTAAAAATTAATATCTCAAAATTTGTAACTCCTAATATTTAATAAAGTGATCAAAATGACTGTGTGTTCAACCCCTCGTCTGAAACTGTCGATACAATACATATTTCAAAAGTTTATAAAGTTTTTTTTTTCTATCTACCAAATTGTATTCATGAATTAAATATTTATCTCTTTTAAAAACATATGCAACAAACATCAGACTAACAAATATGTTATTCCAGTTCTAATCTAAAGAAAATAGTTTATAACAGTTTAAACAAGCTTTATTTGGTTAGCAATACATAAATTTTAGAATTTAGGATTAAGTTTATCTAAAATTGGATATACGTGAATTTAACCTTGTGTACAATTTTAAGTAGAAGTTAATGAAATAATAATATAATGTAAAGAGGCCACTTATTGCAATTGGAAATTGAATCTTGAAGTACATTTTTATAAATTTGATGAAAATGTCTATCACAATAGTTGTGTTCTACGATATAACAGTTATATGCCCAATTTATCTTTACCTAATTGTTACGCTACTTAAATCTGTTGATTAAATCTTAATTAAACTATTGGAAAATTTAGTTCTATTTTGTTCAATAAGCAGCGTGAAGTGTAGTTATCAGTTTGATACAATAAAATCATTTGCGAATGGTATTAGTTTGACATTGAATTTAGTAATTAATTAAATTGAAATTGCCTTTGTACATCGGCAATTTCGCGGCATCTGCGTCTGTTAATAATACGAGACTCTCTCAACTTATCTGAAATAAATAGGTAAACAAAAATATTTTGATTGCACCAAGTCTCGACTGAAAGTCATACTTTTCTTTAATTGACGTTTGTAACGTTGTATTATCGAAACGGCAAGTAATATTTTGTACCAAATAATGTATTTGATTATACTGTTGTCCGTGTATATTCAGTTTGTACAAGGTTGTTGTGGTTTTAATTTTGTAATAAACCGCAATTAACTTTTATATAATTCCATGCCATAATCGACATATAATCAGTTGATATCTAACAGACTTAACGTTTGGGAAAACACTCATTTATCTTCATTTCGTGTACTTAATAAATAGATACAGGCCATAAATGTACTCAATTATTATAAAAAAAAGGACAGACTTGAAAAGTTGTAGATAGGCAAGTTCAAAACTAGTAAACCGGTAGGCAAATATAATAATGATGATGTCAAAGTAGCTGACTTATTTGCAGAAGAGATAGTGTCCTGTGTAATAACTACAAATACGCAACGACTTGTGTGGCAATACGTCTGTCCTAAAAATACTTTTATCTCGTTTGATGCGCACTGCAATGCTGAAGTCTGTAAACAGAGTACAGATACATCTCGAACATTCATTTTTTTAAGTTGATATGATATATGCACAGCTTTAAATACAACCACTAAAGGTTTCGATTTGTCTATAACTATAATAATGTAATAATGTATTTAAAATATCGGAAAGAATCACTGAATAATAAAACAATGTAAAATACAGTAACGGAGGAATACTGAGACTAAGACTTAATTTCCCAATGAATCGAATAAAAGCAGCACAGCACCATCTCTTGGCTACTTACTTCCTCGAATTTTTTGTTTGGAACAAATATTTTTAGTTATTTTAAATTTATTCAGCTGTGTAATAAGCTTATTTTAAATTAAGAAAAGCAATTAACATAAAAATGCTTTGGTTCTTAAATAAGATGGAAGACACGTTCTTTCTTAGAAATAGCGTTATCGATTATAAGCATTTGGCAAATTTCCAAAATACTCAATTATGTTTAGAGATTCTTTATCTATTTAAAAATACCTATATAAATATATTTTAGTTTAATATAAAGCAAAAATTGTATTGAGCAAAAACAAAGAATTTAAAAAAATTATAAAAACTAAAAATGATATGCCTAAATATTGTTAATACAAATACACATGCCTAACATATTAACATTGTTAAATAATTGACTAAGGTAAATATGTGAAAATAGCTAGTATAGAAAGATTTTACTTTTTCTACATTTTACTTGGGATTGTTTGATGAAATTTGGCCTAGAATCTTAACAAAGTAAAAGTAAAAAGTCATTGATCTTATATATAATTATGTAAATGTAAAAAAGAAAGTATTCTGATATCACGGAATATTTTCGAGGTCCTATAAATACCTTTAATTCTTACTTATTTTAATGAAAAAAGCGTGTATAGAATGTTATATTTTTGAAAACTTCCTATATCTCGAGAATTAAGAAGTTTATAAAACAAATAAATATTTCTTTTTATTAAAATAATCATCAATAATCTCACTTCCTACATGTCTGACTCACTATACAGGGTGTTTCATAACTACCGACACAAATCAGGCAGTAGAGGATCTTAAAATATGATTGTTTGTGCAACATTTTTCTCTGAGATGTACCGTTGAAGAGATATTGCATTGGCCACTGAATATGAGTGTTAAATATTGAAAAACAATAATATTTCAGCAATGCTTTGACATAGAGCAATCAAATTTGGTACATGATTTGTGTTTATTGTTATCTTTAATTGGTAAAAATATGAATTTGTTAGAAGTCCTTAAAATGATATCAACTTTTTTATCAGTATGCCAATTATTGAATAGTTTTACCAGTATTACAAGAAATTTAATTTTAAAAATTTGTTTACTCACACAAAACGAGGTACAACTTTTAAGAAGTATTGAAAATAACCCTTATATCAGCGCCAGGCGATTATCTAGAAAATTTAATATACCACATGCCACGGTCCATCGAATTATAAGACGTAATCTGTTTCATTCTTATCATATCCAAAATATTCAATAATTGTTACCCCAAGACGAGACCTGTTTCACAAATTTGCATAATTTCCATGAATAGTCAAATCCACATGCAATAATCCTCTCCATTTTCAAAATGAATTTAAAATAAACGTGTGGGCCGGTATTATCGGACGTTATTTAATTGGGCCAGTTATTCTACCAAACCGGCTGAATGGTCAAAATTATTTATTTTTTTTACAAAATACTCTCCCTGGTCTATTCGATGATTTACCTTTGCAATTAAGACGTCAAATGTGGCTCATGCACGATGCATTTTAGTGCTAATGTACGAGATTTCTTAAACCAGCAGTTCCCGAATAGATGGATAGGACGAGGAAACAATTATTCACAAAATTGGCCACCAAGATCACCAGATCTGAATAAATGTGATTTCTTTCTCTGGGAGGCTTTAAAAAATTTGTTTATTTTACACCGGTTGTATCTGAAGCAGATTTATGGAATCGTATAAATAATAAATGCAATGCCATAAAAAATGATCCAGTCGTTGCGCAGAGTAGACTTTAATTTTCGGCGGAAGGTAAATTTATGTATTGGAGAAAATGGTGGCTATTTTCAACAATGCTATTTAATGATATCGGTAGTTCATGTGCTTAAAGTTGAATTTGTTAATGGTTTGTTTGTAAGTTTTTTTTTTTTAATATGTTAAAAGTAAAATAAAGGATCTAATTTAATGAAATTGCTTTTTCTTGATACTTTTTGTAAATGTCAAAAATGACACATGAAATCATAGCCTACTAGTCGTAAAGCTGCAAACTCTAATTTTGTCTGATTCAATTAGTAATGACGCTGTTTCACAAAATCCGGATTTTCTCAAAAACCGTAATTTTTTCGAAAAATTTGTAAGATTAAAATAATTTTTAAAACTAAATTTCCTGTAATACTGGTTAAACTATTTAATAATTGACAAACTGATAAAAAAATTGATACCATTTTAAAGACGCCTTAGTCTGGCCCGTATTGGGCTTCCAACAAATTCATATTTTTACCAATTAAAGCCGATTTAGAATCGAAAAACCTTTGACGTTCTTTTTTTTCTAGTTGGTCGTGAAGGGTCTCAAGCTAGTAAACATATCGATAGCGAAATACCTAACACCCAACATGGCCCTACTGATAGATAATGTCCGAGATTCCACAATGTCAGCAGTTGGACCCCTGTTGTACGCCAAGCTACACGACCCCACTTGGGAAATCAGGGACTCGGCTCTCGAAGTACTCTGCACGATATCACACAATGCATTCAAGAGTAAGTTCGATACAAGGGCATGAGAAGAATTGCCGCGACGGTTTATTTCTTGTTTTAGAATTTCCTTCTTTCCGGAATATCGTCCTGGACGCCGACCTGCCATCTTTGATTTTGAAAATGGCTTTGCTTGATGGCGAGTCTTTCGTCAGGGCTACGGCTGTGAAATGCCTTCAGGAAATGGTGAAACTGCAAGCGTTCTGGAATAACTTGTTGGAAAGTAGCAACGTACATGTAAGTTATATATTTTTTTCTCTGATATTACTTTGTTATCATGAACGATTCCAAATTAGAATCAGAAAAGTGGCAGCAGTTTGTCAAAGTAATAAGAAATGTGTTCAATGATTTGCATTATTAATTGATTGAAGTTTTCTATTGATTAAGTTCGTAAACTGTTTTTAAATTTATCTCTAATGATAAGATATTGCGAACTATTTAACAATTTTGTGCATAACCAGAATTTATTTAAGCCTTAGCCAGATATACAAAATATTAAACTTTATTTATTCCTTAGAGATATTATTGCACTTGGGTGGCATAAAATAATCACAGTCTAAAAATAGTGTACATAATAATTTGTAAACAAGTATAACTTGGTCGCTAATTATGTTATAAATGTTTATTTTGAAGTAGTCGGTGTTAGATTTTTTTTTGATACCCAAAAGATAGGATCTAATATTTGAAATTGTGGAATAAATTTATACATATTTTTCCGACATACGGCACATCTTAAAACTCAAAGAACTATTTATCGTAATTTGGTGTTTATCTGGTGTTTACTTTGTGCACGTGGATAGTAAGGACTTTCAATTTTATGTCATCGTTCAAGGTGGTGAAATTCCTTGTTTTAATTACGATATTTGACAAGTTTCATGAATTAAAGGAAAAAAGCGAAGGCTGTATGCCATAAATTTTCTTCTTTTTCTTTTGTTATCTTTCAGTATACAATTTTTTGTACCCTTCAAAGCAGCAAGAAGCACAGTACTTTTGTAATAATCTATGATATTTGTGTAGTTATTTTGATATTATTCAACTTACACAGATTATATGACTCGCCTTACTCTTGGAACAAAGAAAACATGTCGAATGTCTTCAGAAAAAACCGCCTGTTGATTAAATTAATAATTATCACAGGTCAACAAGGGTCAAGAAACAGACATACTAATATGCATTCCCGAAGGATTTTGGTGCGCTGAATCCGAATCTGGCAGCAGAATTATTCTAACACGTCACGTTTTTGAGATATCCTAACCTAAAAGTGCAAAAAACACCGTTTTTCGTCATATTTAAGTAGTAATGTCATCTATTCTTTTTCAAAAAAAAATACATATAATTTAAAAGTACAAGGCTCTCTCTTTCGAGTGCCGTCGAGTTTGCTCAAATATCTTTTTTTTTCGTTGGGATATCACATGTTGAAATTTCTAAGTTTATCAGTTTCTTAATATGCGAAAATCTACTAAGGATCCCTTAGACGTCAAACAGTTGATTGCAGTTCAGAAACTTCATACTCAGAAACCTTCAATACATACGAACTCAAACTCACAAACTCCAAATCCACAAACCCCAAACCCACAATCCCTAAACCCACAAAACCCGAACCTACAACAAAGCTTACAAACAACCTACAAGCTTACAAACCCCAAGCCCACCAACTTCAAACCCACAAACCGTATGGGTATGAAGTTGAATTGCAATCGACTGCTTGATGTCTAAGAGATCCTTAGTAGATTTTCGCATATTAAGAAACTGAGAAACTTACAAATTTCAACATGTGATATTTCAACGAAAAAAAAAAGATATTTGAGCAAACTTAACGGCATTCAAAGGAGGGAGCTTTGTACTTTTAGATTCAATGTATTAGTTTTTTTAAATAGAATAGATGGCATTACTACATAACCTCAAATATGACGAAAAACAGTGTTTTTGCATTTTTAGGTTAGGATATCTCAAAAACCTGACGTGATAGAGCAATTCTGCTGCCAGATTCGGATTCAGCGCACCTAAATTCTTGGGAAATATATATTAAAGTTTCTGCTTCCAAAAAAAAGTTAAATTTTGTTGGTGTGTGATTAACATTTTAAAATGCTTTTAAATGCCATTCAACGAATTGCTTAAAAAGGCCGTCCAAGCTAGTTTGACCATTCATTGAAACTAGGAAATTCAAAATCACGAGCTATTTCAAAATTCTTATTCTATTCCTAAAATTTAGATAAAGTAGGTTTTACCTTTTTTTTTAAGTTAATTTAATTCAATATTTCTTCATTTAACACGTTCACTGCGATACATACCTCTGGGGGTATGTACTCATTATAAAAAAAATGCGAATTTCAATAATCACATTTTTTCTGTATCTTGAAGTTGCAGAATCTGTAGTTTTTAGAAATAATGATTTTTCCATTATTTTCTTTTCAAAACTCTTTGCGAATGAAAACGTTAGTATCCTAGGATATATAGTTGCAGATACATGCAAGTTTTTAGCAATAATTGTGTTATTTTTAATTTTATAGTGTCAAATGTAAAAAAATTACATATCCCCAGGGATATGTACCGCAGACGGAAGAAGTTTTGTTACATATCCCCGAAGATATGTATCGCAGTGAAGGACAAAGTGCATTGAGATTATCTCGCAGTGAACATGTTAAATTAAATTAGTGAGTTATGAATGAGCATGCAAAGTTAAGAACACTTAATAAACATCAAAATTTTATAAAATATGTACTGCAAACTGTATATATTTATCAATCAATTAATAAACTAACTGCTGGTTATCAAATTTCGTCGGTCTTAATTCTTAGAAACGTATATAAATAAGATTTGGATCAAGTATAATTAGCCACAGCAATAAACTCATTTTGTTAATTAAGCTGGTAATCAGGCATGAATTGTCAACATTGGGCAAACGGTTTCACACCGGATTGTCTGTTTTTTGTAATACACTTTGTATCAAAATTAACCATCGCTAAAATGAACATGTATTTCAAAGCTGATTTTAGTGATTTTTATATTTAATTATAGATTTATTCCTCAACAATAAAGTTCAGTTAGAAATGTAACTGATATTGTGGGAAATAACTATTCTGCGAACTACAGTCCTGTACATTATTGAATTACATCCCAGTACCTAGCAAACGGCCAGGATCATTCATCAGCAGAATCGTTTGACATAGATTAGTTTAAAAACTGGTCTGGCAACTCAACTAATGAATGAATAACTGCAACTATTTACTGGATATTGAGGGTGTTATTTAATGCTGGACAGGTCGTATAGCTTGCAAAGTAGTTGTTGCTCACAGGATCATAAGTTAAAAAGTTGATTTCGTCTAGTGCAACACCAAAAATTAATAAACTTCTGAAATGCTTATGACTAATCTGTCCAAAATAAAATTTACTAGGATAAATTCGAAATGGTGCTTTCTGAAATAGATGTGGAAAAGTTGTAGATATGCTTTCATAGTACGACAGTATAGACGGATCAGTGTGGGCAGCTGGATAATTTATGAATGAAATCGGCCAGCCAAATTATTTAGCCTTGCTACTTTAACATGACTCCCAAATGGGAAATCAGCACACTGTCGTTTTAGCTTCAGTTGACATTTATATGAGAAACCAGTGATCATTAAAACGTTACAATAGTGGGAAATGTACATAAAATACATACCAAAACATACAGTTGAATTTTTTTCAGAAATGTTTCCTATTCAGGTACATTAAATAGTACAAATATGGATAGACGGATTCAAAAAAATTCAAAAATGCATTTTTTTTAAGAGTGTTATACCTCATTGGAAAGGTCTCTTCCTGCTTTATCTCGTTGTGACTGCGTAAAGTCATTTACTTCAACATGGAAACTTGTAGATGGCGTTCAAAAGAATACCGTTGTATGGATTTTTTTCAAGAATTTTAAATGCAATGCTATAGTTTTTTTTTACATTGAGGGTTGCTTTCGGTGTGCAGCAAAATAGATCTCTCTCGTAACGGTAAAAATAAAGTATTTTTAATGAAAACAGCGTTAGTGAAAAAGAAGTGTTGTCGGGGTGAGCGTTCGCTGGAGAGTCGTCGTGGTGTGGAGTCGCTCACAGGTGTAAGTAGGTCCTTGGCGTCAATCTGCCGTGGACCTTTTCCTGGAACTCTGGTGCGTCCGGGCGACGTCAGGCTGGCGCTCTTGATGTAATACTTAAAATGGGTCTCTTGCGGACATGTGTACTCACAACATAAATGAAATCAGTACAAAAAAATTGATGAATGTAGTATAAATTTGAAATTTCTAACGAAAGTGTTGTATATTTATTGGCGCTATTTTTTTCCCAAGTTCTAGGGCCTATACTTTCTCTAATATCGTACCTCACCGACCTTAGTGGGACACCCTGTACAACTGTGATAATATTATGGAAATAATTTATTTGGCGGATTTCATTCATAAATTGTGATTTTTTTTTTCGTGACTGAACTCATGTTGTGTGTGTGAATTTTTCGATTTTGAGAGAATAGTAAGACATTTGAACTACTGTAGAACATCACAAATTTATATCAAATGACTGAACATTTCACATTTCAACTGAATACCCTGTTGGTATATTCAACCAAAGTAATTAGTGGGTTTGTGGGTATTTTAATATCTTTTTTATTTATGTGCATATTTATCTCCCAGTTGTCAAATCAATGTCAGGAGTTTGTGTTGAATTTTCCTAATGACAGATCGTTAAACGATGAAGAAAATAACATGAAAAAATTAAGTTACAAATTCTCTGCCAATGAATATTTACATTTTCACGATCTGTTATAGTTAAAGTTTAGATATAAGTTGAAAAGAGGTAGAAATAGTTACTTCAAGTCAGGCATATTCATTTATTTTCCGTCACGAAAAAAGCCTATTAATTCGCTGTGCCTACTGGTCTGTCTATGATTAGTAGGTCACTCTGCCAGTAGGTGCAAAGCAGTGTTTTGGGGCAGTAGGCATTGAGTAGGAATGACATTTAAAATATGACATACTTTATACGTTATATCATATCTCTCCCACAAAAAGTTTTATTGAAATATCAGTTTTTAGCAGAATAATATAGGTTTCCCTGAAAATTGACTCGTAAGCTGAATTAAAATATAGTCCCATCTTTTCAATTCGTTTTTTTATTTGTATATTTAAAAACGATAAAAAAAATGTTTCGATAAAAAGAAGAAAGCACTAATTCCATAACAAAAAGAAAATAAGTCAATATGTACTTTTAATGAGGACTTTACATCGATGACACAAATTAAATTTTTTCTGGATCAATTTTCTATGTTTCTCTTGTTTGCAGTGTCGCCAAGAGAGATGCTGTATGCTAAATTTTAAATTTTATGATAAACTGATGCGTTTTAACTTAATTGTTTCTCAGTTAATAATAATGACATGAATCAAAAAACAAATTGGTCAGGAAAGATGGAAGTACAATATGATTAAGTAGATCTTCGTTATTTTAGCGTTCTACAGGGAGTTTCAAATTTTGAGTGAAAAAAATTGATTTCTTCAACCAAAAAAAAAAGGTTACTGTTCGCGAGGAAATCAACTTTGAATTCGAAGTTCTTTTAACGATACATACATTTTGATAGGAAGTGTATTCTGGGAATATTTGAATTTATTCATTTGTCCCAATTCTAGGAAAAAATAATCCAGATCCTTCAGCACGAAACGGAGGGCATAGTGCGATGCGAAGCAGCTTCCCTGGTGGTTGATATCTACAAACATCGCGACATTCCGATAGAGACGCTGACCAAATACTACGATATAATGACCCACGCGGCCACCGCAGACCTGCACTGGGAGGTGAAAGTGAACGCGTTGAAATTCTGGGAAAGTGTCATCCAGCACCACTTGACGCACCAAGGTATGATAGACGGCTGTTTTCCAAAGGTGACGTTCTCCAAGGAGCACCGGAAAATTGTCACGTTGAACGAGCCAGAGGTAAGGAAAAGACTGATTAAAATTCTGCATCAACTAAGCGAGACGGGGTGTCTGGCGGTGCTGATAACGACGCTGCAGGACGACTGCGATTTAGAGGTATCGAAAACTGCGACGGCGATCATCCAAAAATTTTCAGAGTTGCTGAAGAATTACAAAGTACACTCTTCCGATACGAGTCTGAGTACTCCACCCAGTCCTCTCGGTTCGTTCAACGTCGCGCCGTCACCGCCTTACTCAAACGCCATACCCGGCACCTCGACCGGTTCCAGTCTGAATATGTCGCCCATGTCCCAGCTGAGCGACGGCGGGCAGCAAAACAGCTGCGCGAATCACTTCGAGGACATCACGGATTCTATCCTGGACGAGATCATCAACTCCCAGGATATGTGTCTCCTGCAGGACATGTACAACCCGTCAGATCAAATGTCTAATAGTAGTTTAAAGCTGAGGTTTAGGCGGGTGATGACGCCGAGCGATTTTTTGAGGTTCGTCGATACCGACCTCGACGCGCACGCCAACGACAAGGCGAAGTGGCTGAGGGGGATGGACGCGTTCGAGTCGTTATTAGACGACATACTGAAGGAATACAACAGCAGCGATGTGAATAGTATGGACTGCTACTAGTTTGTAGGTTTGTTTTGCTCTAGGATAAACGGGCGAGTGTTTGCTTCATTGTGGTCGATTTAGTTGTAAGTAAGATACGGGTGGTTTTGAAGGAAGCTTCCGTAAATTCAACAGCTGATGGAACATCAAAAAGTAAGCCCATTTTTTCCTGTCGACATATCCAACATTTGTTACATTGAAATTTTGTACCGGTAAGTTTCGAGAATTTTTGAAAGTCGACGTTAGTTTTCAAGTCTCCCGTAGGGGTCGCTAGCTGCAATTTATCTCGGTGCCATTTTTAAGACGAATTTTTTGAGGTTAGGTTTTTTACGTTTTGTGTTTCAACACACAAAAAGGTTCTCCCTGTAGTACTGCTCTTTTTATCAAGTACATTTCATCAAAGTAAAATAAATCTTATTGTCAGAGCTTTTATTTATTAAATGCAATATTACTAGCAATAAGACGATATATCGAGAAATTCACAGTGCGGCAGAATGTGTTTGAAAAAAAAGCGAGGATTATCGTAATTAACAAGAGTACCTTTTTGCTAAAAATCAAATTTTAGTTTGTGACATGCAATTTTAATGTAGGAAACCTAACCTCAAAAAAAAAGTCTTCATATGTTACGGAAAGATTGCAGTTAGCGACCTCTTCAAGATATCAAATTTGTTCCCCTACAAATGGTCCAATGTAAAATGATGTTATTTTTTTTGTACTAACAGCTTCTGAATTTACGACACTTTTTTTCAATATAGCCATTATAAAACACTTAAAGGTATCGGATGTTTTTTGAAAATCTGGAAGATGGAGAAGAAATTTCAACAAACTAGGCGAAATAATCTAAAAATTGATTTAGGTTAGAATTTATTTACTGATCCAAATTTTGTACAAATGTTGATATGTTTACTGTTCATTACGCAACACTTTAAGGGTTTTTTAATACTCTATTTTTTTTTATATCATTTCAAACGTTGGAACAAATTAATTTGCTTTAATAAAGTTTTATTTGTCATAATTTTTTTATTCCTAATGTGACGGAAATTGCCGTATTTCCCGGTATATACAGGGTGATTCAGTCATATCCAAAATAAAAATTCTGGATGGACTCTTACAAATACAATTTTGTAAAGAAAAAATCAAAAAAGGCAGTTCGAAAATGATTTAAAAATACACTTCTGCATGGCACTGGGAACTGGTCCACTGTAAAACCTGACCTCGTTTATGTGACCGTCAAGGTGGCAGTGATAAAAACTGACAAAAACTTGAAAGAATTTTGAAGGAAAGGAATAAATAGAATTTTATAGCATTTTATATCAACAAATTCAACTGCTTTTGCTGCTATTGTTATTAATTAATAAAATTTATTTGTGGTTTTAATTAACAAAATAATTTAACATACCGATGTTCAAAATTTTGTCCATCGACATGTAAACACATTTGATCTTGTCTTACTCAGTTTCTACAAACTAACGCAAATGTTGTCCTGTTTCACCATAAATTAAAACGTTATCCATCAACTCCGAGTTGCTATACACGCAAGCCATTTTTGACACTAACTAGGTACTAAAAAACTATTGTAAACACTATCGCAGCCACGATTGTATTGGGAGGCGATGAGGCACGTGGCTCTCCACATGTATTGTGAATGACGCTAGAGACTACAGTTGTCCAGCGATGTAATGCTTCAAAGTAGTACAGCTTCAATAATTTTGTTCTCGGAAACTGTAAGGATTTTACAAAATTTTTACGATATTGACCCATTTTTTATGCCCCATCTATTCCCAAATTTTTTTGGATCAGTTATGAATCACCCTGTATGTGTACAAGCCTTTACTTAATGACTTAAAAATCTTAACTTTCCTAAAACTGCAAGTCCTAAGTGTGCCATGATTTTGTAAGATCTATTTTTAAAAATTGTATTAGCAATTTTTTTTTTGTTCGAAATCTAATAACATGACATTCTACACCTCATACTAATTTCTAAGAGGATCTTTTTAAATGTTAAATATAAATTTAAAAAATTTAAGAAGTTCCTGTATTATTTTAATTATTTTACTTCAATTTTTCCTGAATACGAAAAATTACAATTTGCTGTATTTGCACTTTTTCACGAATAATTTACATTTTTTCTAGCAATTAACCCTCAATAATTAAAAAACAAAAATCGCAGATGGAATAATGTTATTAGATAGAAAAATGTTCGAGTTTCATTTGTTTTTTACTGATTTTAATAGCCTACACACCTGTTAACCACGACACGCAGTATATCGGTTTGGTTCGTATTTCCAGTTCATGGCGACTCATCGAAAACTTAATTTAGCTTCATACTGTTCATTTTAGCTCAAAAAAACAGCCTAGAAGTTGGAAATTTGTGCGGTGGAAGGGAATCCCTATTATAACTTGGTACGCTAATAAGTTATATACATACAGATCTATGCATTACATAATTGATTTTGCCATCTTAGTTAAAAGAGCTTGGAACTACTCGTGATGTTAATACTTTGCTAATCATGCCCCTTTTTTTTAAGTAGTAAGGTTCCTAACACCGTAGAATTTTCCCCAATAGCAATTACCTCCGTGGAAACTTCAAATTTCCACTAGAAATATACTTATTAATCTCCCTGTATATAACCGTTATATATATTTTTGATAAAATGTGAGAAATCTGATACTTTTCATAACAGATAGGCAAACATATTGTTGCGATTATTTAATTTGGGATGTGACTGATTAGATACCGTTTGTTTACGTCGCTGTTTCTGCAGAAATCCTTTTATTATCAGCAAGTATTTCATAATATTGCACGATTTTGTCTAGTGGTATTAGTAGATAAAGTGTAGCCTTCTTCGATGATGATTCAGGAGCTATATAATTTCTGAATCGTCTGAAATCTTTGTTTTATTTTTACATCGACGCTAAAATAAAAATGATCTATATCTTTCCACAGAAATATTTCAATGATCATTGTAGTACATCCGTAGCAGTGACGGTTCATGAAAATTAAAAAATTGGTATATATATTGAGATCGCGTGATGAAAATAATGTCTGAGACCTTGAATAGGATTCCCAAATATTTTTTATAATAGTCGAAAGTAAATTCAATTAGCTGTTTTTTTATTTCTTCCAATTTTTAGGCAACTTCCATGAATATATAATTTTTAGAACTGCATAATAGTAGTCTATAACCTTTAACAAGTAACAGTTGTAAATAAATTAATTTTTTCAATATTACAAATTAGTTATACAGGGTGATTCACAAATGGTGACCAAAAATGAAACCTCGTATTCTTTGGTGCATTTTAAGGGGTCTTTCCTATAAAGTTTTTATCTAGGGCGCTTCCATAAAAAGATACAGGATGTTAAACTTGAAATTGGGCATGTATTTATGTAAACATTGTCCAAAATCCTAAAACAGGGTATCGGTGGCATATTTTTCTAAATAAAATAGTACGCCACTGCTTTAGACAACCATGATTTTTTCGGATTCGTCTTTCAATTTTCTACAAATTACTGACAGTCACCTGGAAATTCACCAAAGAGTACGAGGTTTTATTTTTGGTCACCATTTGTGAATCACCCCGTAGTTGTTTACTACTGTGATGGAACCTAATCTGAAGAAATGCGTTTATGGGGAGCCTCGAAGCAAAGTGAATTTGTCTGTTTCTGGACTATTGTTATTTACTATGCTCACGCTGTTGGGCCCTCCTTCCCTTGTCATTCATGTTCTCGATTGCACTAAATGACGTCACGAATTAGCACGGCAAGAAACGCCCGTTTAAAACATTTATTTTGCCAGACAAACTTTAATAATTAATTGTTAATTAACTACCGCATGATTATATAAGGTTATAGATTATTTCTTACTACTAAAAGTATATGCAACTTGTCTTTTGATATTAACATTTCATTTTTAAAACTTTATGTAACTGTAACTTAAAAATGAAATGAAAAAGTAAGAAAACGCCTTTTTGTATTTGTTAGTTGATTATGAAAATAATAATAATAATAATAAGCCTGGAATCCCATTTTTTTTCATTTCGCAGATTTTGTTTGAATTTTTTTCATCACAAACGTACTCTATACGGGCCTAAAATCATTTAAAAAAGAACACAATTCGTTTCTCGAAAATGTTATCACTAATTTTCGTGAGCCGTTGCTGATTCATAGCCACCTTAAACATGTAGCCCTACAACTTTAAAAGGTACCTAGTTATACCTACTTTTAATTAATACCTTCTTCAGGCAAAATGAAAATAAATATTGAATCGTTTTTTACGGAACCATACGAATTTAGAAAGTATAGACTGTAACAACTACTTTGATTTTTGTACGTAATGACCTACTGTTAAGTTTTTCTAGAAATTTATATATCAGATATATGTATCGTTTCTTTTTGTTATGAAATAAAGAAATATTTTAAATATTTTGTTGTGTATTTATTTTTGTTATTCTTGGAATGAAAGAAAAAAAATTCAAAAATGATGGAATGTGCAGGGTTTTAAAAAAACTAAAAAAAAATAGGTAAGAAATAAGTATTTGTTTTAGCTGCTACTAAGACAAATAAGTGATTGAAACAGCACAGATATATAGACAGGGTGATTCAGTCATAATGTCATTCATTTTATCCACGTATTCGGAAGGCCTAATAAAGACAGAAAAAAAAACATTACTCGACCTTTTAAAAAATATAAGCAAATTCAAGGATCGAAGAGAAATGGCTGATTTTTTACCCAGTCGTCTAGAGTCGAAGGTAAAGTTCAGCGGATCCTAAAACTTTAGTAACAAAGGTAGAGACGAATGAGTGGGCGTTTTTTTTAGCCGTAGTGTCATTATAAATAGGTAGGTACCAAACTCATTGAAAAGCAATAAGATATACGTACTACAAACTGAATAATTAATTAAACATGATACTAAAAACTCAATTATAAAACGTGGTGAATACGTTAACAATCTTAAAAATACTAGATTGTAATAACCTAACATTCGAAAACAATTATTATCATTATACATTTGTTTTTATAACTAACAAATAAATAATAATATTTAAAATGTAAATAAAATATCTTATTCATTCATGTGTCTAGCTAAAAAGCTGTCTTTATTAGATGTAGCTCCTTACGGATAAAACAGGCATTAAAAGCTAGGTTAATGACCACATATTACGGTAGGTCAAGGTTCACGTATTCGTATTCTACTAATTTTTCCCTATCTTCCTTTAAAATTAATAACATTATGACTGAATCACCCTGTATACATTTTTATTACAATTTTTAAAAAAAGGTGCATTTTAGGAGGTAAGTATAAATTCAAACAAATTATGTATTCATAGAATTTATAAATCAAAATCTATATAAATATAGAATCCTTTAATCTTTCTGCGTATCAAGTTGCATTATTGGAATTCTTCAAATTACGTTTATGACATTTTAGACCAAGAAATAAAGGTGAAAAATCATCGAGAAATCATGAAAATTACTGGGCGTGATTTTATTGTTGGAAAGTCTTGGGAATGATAATAAAAGAGGCGTCTCATCAAATGGGTCATGAAAAAAGTATAGCCCCTCTAAACACGAAACGTAAATGAAACGTTGCAAATGAGATGTTTTACTAAACATTTGAAACATTAAGTAGAAACGTTTCTGTTTCATTACAGAAATGTAGCACTTGAAAACTTATTTAGTGAAACATAGCCGAAACGTTACAATTGAAGAGAGTTTGAAACATTACTCGAAACATTACCTTTCGATCTCGGAAACATAACAGACGAACAACCCTTTGCTATTTTTGCTTATCTTATGGAACAATCGGCATTAGTTAAATTTTGCTCTCAATCCCCAAACCTGAAGCGTTAGTTCATTTGCCTTTGTTTATATAAAGACATAATTAGAAAAAAAAATGTGGTAGCATAATTTATAACACAAGTCTAGAAAAAATTTATGTTCGTGACTTGCGTAGACTGCGCGTAACAGCGCGAGTTTATTTGTTTCCCGTGTGTCGTTTCAATTCGTATTATGTTAGGGTAGGTTTGCGGTTTAGTCAGTTTGCTTGGTTTCGTTGTTATTCATCTTTACTTTGACGCTATTTTATGTGATAATTTGTAGTGTGTGTAGTTGTAGTTATTGTAAGGTGCATA